TGGGTACAGTCAGAAGGCAGGAGGGTGAGAGAATTCACCAGAGCCAGAGCGGGGAGCAGAGCAGGCAGAAGGACCGAAGCACACTGCTGAGGGGAGCAGCGGGCGGCAGGAGAGGTCTGCGCGCCATGTGGGACCCTCCTCTGGTGGCCGGGGAGCAGCCGGGGATTGAACCGGCGCTGCAGAGGCTGCGGGCAGCTTTGCAACCCAGCGCTCAACCGCTGCGCCACCGGGGAGGCCCTAACAGAGGAATTTTAAAGACTGATTTATTGTCCAAAGATGATTATTGGGCTTACTGTGGCAAGAGTTCAATCCCAGCCAGGGAGATGACCCACATGGCACAGCAGATCTCTCCTGTCTCGCCCACTGCTAGCAGTGTATTTCAGTAGATCTGCCTGTTCTGTTCCCCACTCTGTCTCTGGTGAATCCTCTCACATACACACACCCTGCACCTCTGGCCTATACCCCAATTCTTCTTCTTCTTCTTTTTTTTAAAGATTTATTTATTAAATAAATCTTTTTTTTTAAAAAAAGATTTATTTATTGGGGGGCCTCCCCGGTGGCGCAGCGGTTGAGCGCTGGGTTGCGAAGCTGCCCAAAGCCTCTGCAGCACCAGTTCGATCTCCGGCCACTGGGCAAGGGTCCCACATGGCGCACAGACCTCTCCTGCCACCCCCTGCTCCCCTCAGCAGTGTACCTTATCGGTCTGCCTGGTCTGCCTGTTCTGCCCTCCGCTCTGACTCTGGTGAATTCTCTCACCCTCCCACGCTTCTGACTGTACCCAGTGCTTATATAAACAAATAAATAATTCTTTAAAAAAAAAAAAGATTTATTTATTGGGCCTCCCCTGGTGGCGCAGTGGTTGAGAGCTGGGCTGCGAAGCTGCCCGCAGCCTCTGCAGCACCGGTTTGATCCCCGGCCACAGGGCAAGGGTCCCACATGGCGCGCAGACCTCTCCTGCTGCCCGCTGCTCCCCTCAGCAGTGTATTCCGTCACTCTGCCTGTTCTACTCCCTGCTCTGGCTCTGATGAATGCTCTCACCCTCCCGCGTTTCTGACTGTACCCAGTGCTTGTATAAATAAATCTTTAAAAAAAAAAAAAAGATTTATTTATTTATGCATACAAGAACTGGGGTATAGGCCAGAGGTGCGGGGGTTGAGAGGATTCACCAGAGACAGAGTGGGGAACAGAACAGGCAGACTGACTGAGGGGAGCAGTGGGCAAGACAGGAGAGGTCTGCTGCTCTATGTAGGTAGCTCCCTGGCTACCCCCCGGGGATCAGACTCATGCTGCAGAGCCTATGGATAGCTTCACAGTGATGTGTTTAATCCCTTGCACCACCAGGGAGGCCCCTCCCAGTTCTTCTATGCATAAATAAATAAGAAATAAAGTGGATGCCTAACTCTAGGTTATAGCTTTAAAAAAAAGAAAAGATAGAGGGCCTCCCTGGTGGTGCAGCGGTTAAGCGCTGGGTTGTGAAGCTGCCCGCAGCCTCTGCAGCACTAGTTCCATCCCTGGCCACCGGGTGAGGGTCCCACATGGCCCGCAGACCTCACACATAGCCTGCCACCCGGTGCTCCCCTCAGCAGTGTATTTCGTCAGTCTGTCTGTTCTGCTCTCTGCTCTGGCTCTGGTGAATTCTCTCACCCTCCCATGGTTCTGACTGTACCCAGTGCTTGTGTAAATAAATAAATAAATCTTATAAATAAATAAATAAATAAATAAATACTTTTTCTAAAAAAAAATTAAAAAAAAAAGATGATTATTGGGCTTCGGAGGATTTTATCTTGTAGCAGCTACTTTTCTTTCTGTATATGCCTGTATTTTGCCTTGTTGCATACATACTCTAGGTGGTGCTTAGAAGCCATTCTGAAGTAAAAATTGTAGAAAATACAGAAAGTGGACAATTGAAACATATGTATAGTAGCCATTAACCCCCACTCTTGTCTTACCTACCTTTAACATTGTAAAATACTTCTTAGAAAACAATTAATTTCTTTATTCCATATTCCATATTTACTGAGCATTGTTTTTATTGACACAAACAATAAGCTCTGCTTTCATGGAGTTTACATGGTAGGAGTGGTGACAGACAAGTAAAGGCATTAAGTAGGCAAGAGATAACAGTGTGTTAGATGATGATATGTTGAAGGGGAGTAGGGTGATATACGCGTGTGGGTGTATGTGTTAAATGTCTATAGTTGCTAGGAAGAGCCTCACTAAAAAGGTCACATGTGAGTAAATACCTGAAAGACTATTGACAATTATGACAATTGAGAGAGAGAAAGAGAAAAAAAAACACCCCTCTGGGTTAGCTGGATTTGCTAAGAGCATGCTTTCTCTAGGCATGCTCCCCTTCATCCCCATGTCACCCCCTTCCTATAGGAGGAAGGGCAGACCCTTGTATTCCATTAATAGGGATATTTTCTCACTGATTGCAGCTGCCTTGTCTTTCCACTTGGCTTTGGCCCTGCCCTCACTGTTGCCCTCTCCTTTCTGGCCTCCTTTGCTTATAGTCCGAAAATCTTCCAGAAGACCAAGTGCAGCATCTGTAACAGTGCCTTGGAGTTGCCTTCGGTCCACTTTCTCTGCGGCCACTCCTTCCACCAGCACTGCTTTGAAAGTTACTCAGAAAGTGATGCTGACTGCCCCACCTGCCTCCCTGAAAACCGGAAGGTCATGGATATGATCCGAGCCCAGGAACAGAAACGGGATCTCCATGATCAGTTCCAGCACCAGGTGGGCATGACTGGGGCAGAAGACCCCTCACAGAGTCACAAGAGCTTCGGAGGGCTTATTTCTCATCCCCTCCTCCTTTGGGAAATAAGCATCTCTGTTCTGACTCTTAACTTCTATTTCCCTGCAGCTCAAGTGCTCCAATGACAGCTTCTCTGTGATTGCTGACTACTTTGGCCGAGGTGTTTTCAACAAATTGACTCTGCTGACCGACCCTCCCACAGCCAGACTAACTGCAAGCCTGGAGACTGGGCTGCAGAGGGACCTGCTCATGCACTCCAGGAGAGGCACTTAAGCAGACTGTGGGGAGGGGTGTGATGGTGGAGGCACAGGAGGAAGGCATGGGGACAAAGGCAGGGCTGCTGCACTGGAATCAAGCATAGATGCCCAGGACTCCACTTTCATCTGATGCCATAGTCTGCAGGACTACAGGGGATTTTTTTTTTTCCCCCTACCTTCTCCTTTGGCCAGCCTGCCATTCCTCCAGTTGACTTTTTGAGCAGTGTAGATCATTCCAGACCAGTGGGGGAGGGCACCTCAACAACCTCTGGGTATGGACAATAGCTGCTTTATTCTCTATCCAAGAGCACCAGGCTGTGCTTGGGTCCTTGCTCCCAGATTCTATAAATAAAAGAATATAATGATTTGGGGCTTGAAGGATTTGTTCTTGGGACTTCCTGGTGATTCTTAACTCTGCAGAATGTACATCTTTCTCTCTCCTTTCCTAGTGGGCCACTTCTCATCCTACAGACTGTCATGTTTACAGTCATAGTCACCACCTCATTCCAGTTTTGAGTGTGATGTGCCATCTAGTAGAATTCAATGTACTGAAGTCTTAATCTGCAAAAGACCTAATCCTGAGCTCTAAGAGCAGCCTGGACTGAGGCACCCCAAACAGCTCCTGCTCTTTGGTCTGGCGGCTCTCTATGGCTCTTATTTGGACAAAGTATTCAAGTAGGAGGCAGATCCTGGTGGGGAGCCCATGGATCAGCTGACCTGAGTTTGAATCCTACTTTGACTTAGGGCAACTCTTTTCTAAGTCTCAGTTTGTCAATATATTAGGAATTATAACACCAGCCTTAAGTGGTTGTTATAAAGGCCTCAGAGTACTTGGGTGCCCAGTTCTTTGTATTGCGGTTAGCACACAGGGCCATAAATATTAATGTAGTGTGGGCACTCCCACTTCACCTTTGTCTTTAGGCATCACCTTTAATCACACTTTAAGAAATAGAACTGTTTTCCTGGGGAGCTGCCCACATGGCACAGCAGACCTCTCCTGTCTCCCTTGCTGCTCCCCTCAGCAGTGTACTTCAGTCAGTCTGCCTGTTCTGCTCCCCACTCTGTCTCTGGTGAATCCTCTCACCCACCACACCTCTGGCCTGTACCCCAGCTCTTGTATGCATAAATAAATAAGTCTTTAAAAAAAAATAAATAGAACTGTTTTTTACTTCAGGCTTGTAGTGTCAACAGAGCAGAGGAAGTAATACAGAATCCACCAATTGTGTGCCACAGCTGAGGAGATCAAGTTGTAGAGTTCCGCATGCTAGCTTTCTGGGGCAGTCCTATTTGTAGACATGGAATCTAGCCTAGGGGGCATGATAACTTGTTCATGGACCCTTTACTTCCAATGCAGCGTTATAGGGTTAATATCTTGGCCCTCTTGGCCCTCCTAACTTTGACTTAACTGCCAGTTTGAGGTCATTGGAGGGGACTGCCAAGAGTTTGTAGGTAAATCTGGGAAGCATATGCTGGCTCAGGACGAGATAGAGGCGAAAGTAGAAATGAATGGGTGGTAGGTCTGATTCTCAAACCAGAAAGACTGGGGCACACGGGAGCCCAGCGTGCCGTGCCAGCTTAGCCGAGCAGGGGCGGCCCCGCAAAGGTAAGGAGTCGCCTGTCGCAATCGCTCCCATTCCCGCCCAGGGGAGGTTCCTCCCCTCGGAGGAGGGCGGCGGAAGTGACGCAGCCCGTCCAGAGCCGGGAGTCTGAAGCTGCAGGACGAGCTCAGGCCCCGCGTGCCACCGGGTGCCCGCCGGCCGGCGCGGCCGGCCCCCCCCGGATCCCGGGGCGCTGTGGCGGCAGCCCCCGGCCTACTTCCCGAGCACAGCCATGTCCGGGAACGGCAGCGCGGCCGCAACGGCGGTGAGTCCTGAGCCGGTGACCCTCGCGACTTCGGGCTTCCGGACTAGCGGGGCAATGATTGGCCCCAAGTTGCTACCCTCCGGCGTCGATTGGTCGGAACGGCTGTCCGTCACTTTTTTTTTTTTTGGGTCCGAGTAGTTTTTAAAGTTACCCTGAGGGTTGAGTGAAGGGAACCCCATTCCTGCGGCAGTCTAGGTGGGGTTCACGCTAGGCGTGGTGTCCCCGGCTCTAGTTTAGTGTCCCAGCCCAGGAAAGTTCTTCTTTCAGAACTGAGCGCTTATTCCCCTGGACCCTTGGTCACGAGACCGGGCCGGGGAAAGAGGCGACCACCTTCATGGAAAATGTTCCACTTTGGATCCCGAGAGGAAAACATACCAAGACTCCAAGCTGCACGCAAACATCCTGAAACAGCCTTCTCCCTCCCTTTTTTTTCCGTTTAAACCGTCACCCAGTCCCAGTCTACTCTCAAAGTCCCCAGCTGAGACACACGTTAGGGTTACTGTGGTGGGTGGGAGGGGGCCACCCTTGGGGCTTCCTATTCTAGCCAGCCGCTGGAGCTTTGGACTTGTGCGAATGCAAATTACAGTCTGTGGCGATCACTGCCAGCCTGAGATAAGAAAGAGATGGGGCAGCTGCTTATCTCCCCGTTAGCCTGCTGGTGAGCAGAGGGATTCACTGTCATTGCAGACACTCGGGAGCCCTGGGCTAAGAGTAGGAAGAGCTGGATTCTAGTTCCAACTCTCTGCCCATTACTAGCTGTGTGACCCTGGGCCAGTCACTTCACCCCTCAGAGTTAGCATGGCTTCAGAAATGCCAGGCCTGTCTACGAGATAGGTTGTTATGAAGATTAAAAGCAGTATCTAGTGTGTATCAATAAATAACTTTTTAATGACAGTTTGACATAATTATGTTGTCTAGAATGACTGAACTTAAAGGAATGTTTGAACCTAGCAGTTTCTGGGACCTTAGATTCCTTTCTGCGGGGTTTCTGTGGCCCAGAATTTTAGTGCTCATGGTTAGCATGTCAAGCCTCACCTCCTTTCTCAGGATCCCCCAGAGCTGATTTTTTTGGAGAAGTGGTTGCCCCGGAGTAGACCAGAATCCAAAGGCAGACAGTAGTCACCACCAGCAACAGAGGCCCTAGGCCTGTCTGCAAAAGAACTCATGGAATGAAGATCCCAGAACAGGGAAAGTTCTAGATAGTTGCTGTCTGATGTAGGAAGAAATAAGACCTTTGTCTTAGACTGAAGAACCCAGTTTCACCTGCTTGGCACTAAATACCTTTGTGAAAGGCAAGAGGAAGAGGCGTGTCCCTTGAGCTCTCGGCCTTTTCTCTGATGTCCCAGTATTTCCTTGTTGGTAAAACCAGAATCAGTGTCTAAGTGAATGGACATTAGGCAACTCAGCCTCTTAGTCTTATGGGACATCAGATGAGGAAGATAATTGCTGCCAAACCTCTTCATTTTGTAGACGAACAGATAGCTACTGAGTGGTTGATGTTTTCAAGTCAAGGTCATCAGCCAAGAGGCTGAGTAGGACTGTTCGCCAGATCTCTTGACCCCAGTCCTTGTAGGTATGCATTTCACCCAGATTGAGGAATCTGTAGTGTGGCAGCTGTGGAGTAGCTCTTGGCATCTGGGTGGCACTGCAGCTTTTCTTCAGTGCCTGCTCTGTTGTGGGAGCTGAATTTGCCCTCAGTGACTCAGCACAAGTTCCCCTATGTGGTCCCTGCTGCCCTGCCCCTGCCTGCTGCAGGTCCCGCCCTCCCTCTGGCCAGGCTGATGGACCTTATCTCTTTACCCAGCTGGCTGTGTAGCACTTCTACTGCTTTGGCCAGGGTGGGCTTCAGGGCTCAGTGTCCTGGTTACTGCAGGAGAAGAAACAGCAGCTGTGGGTCCTACGGTCTCTTGCTTGTCTGTATCCGTGAGAAGGGCTGAAGGTACTGAGGAAGGTAAAGGGTCCAGATTCATCGTATTTCTCCATCCCAAGGCTGCCGGCCACAGGCCCAGGGGCAGAGGTTCCTTTCATCTAAGCCAGTGGTTCTTGGTCAAGGTACTGAGGAACATGGGAGCACAGGGTACTGACCTAGGGACTTTTTCTGCAGGAAGAAAACAATCCAAAGATGAGAGTGATTCGTGTGGGTACCCGTAAGAGCCAGGTGAGTGCAGGTACCAGAGGGGAGCAGGATTATTGAAGAGTTCAGTGCTCACAAGTTGGGGGGCCTGGAGGGTCAATTCTAAGCAGCTCTAGAATGGAGACAATGGGGTGACTGGGAATTAATTCCTCTGCTGAGTGGCAGAGCACATAATGTGGAGAGATTGTCTCTAGATTGGAGAAATTGTTGGGGTATCAGGGATTCCCAGGCCAGATCCCTCTCATTCCTAGGTGGACATTCAATCCCCTTTCTGAATTCCAGTCTCTTCAGGAGTTCTGTAACCCTGAAGCGTTTGGGACAGTGGCCAGGAAAGGGCAGGACTAATATGCATCTCTGTCCCCAGCTGGCGCGCATACAGACGGATAGTGTGGTGGCAACGCTGAAAGCCTTATATCCCAGCCTGCAGTTTGAAATCAGTGAGTTTTGGGGAAAGAAATGAAAGCTATAAGATAGGGTTTCTGGCTGTCCCTGGTCCCAAAGGCTGGTCCATTGACCCTGAGACTTCTTGATCTTTTCTTCCTCTGAACACCTCCCGCGCCAATCCCCTGGCCTACCTGGCAGTTTATGGCTTCTGCATTGGGTCTTTTTATGAATGTGTCTTTTCTTCTTCCTGGGTCGATCATTCCCGTAGGGACTGGGGCTTGTGAGCCTCTGCATTTACCATGAATCTTCACACAGTGCAGGGCTCAGTGGGGCTCAGTCAACGCAGATCAGTGAATGCCTGATTGATTCTCTCCTTAGTTGCGATGTCCACCACAGGGGACAAGATTCTTGATACTGCACTCTCTAAGGTAACATTTTCCTCTAATCCTTGTCCCACCTTCTTCTTTCCTTCCCCCAAGAAATTTACTCTGTGGCTCTTTTTGCCCAGTAGATTGGAGAGAAGAGCCTGTTTACCAAGGAGCTGGAACACGCGCTGGAAAGGAATGAGTAAGTGAAAGGCAGGGGAGCATCTGGTGCTGAGCCCCAGCATGCCCCAGACCTGAATATCAGCTAGGCTCTTGGGCTTAAACCCTTGGGTAGTTTATTTATTTTTTATTAAAGATTTATTTATTTATTTATTTATACAAGCACTGGGTACAGTCAGAAGCGCGGGAGGGTGAGAGAATTCACCAGAGCCAGAGCTGGGAGCAGAGCAGGCAGAAGGACCAAAGTACATTGCTGAGGGGAGCAGCGGGCGGCAGGAGAGGTCTGCGCGCCATGTGGGACCCTCCTCCGGTGGCCGGGGAGCAGCCAGGGATCGAACCAGCGCTGCAGAGGCCGCGGGCAGCTTCACAACCCAGCGCTCAACCGCTGCGCCACCGGGGAGGCCCAACCCTTGGGTAGTTTAGAGTGGGGCGCATATGTGGCTTTTTTCAGGCCTCAGAAAATGACAGTATCTTGGTTCTGAGCCATCTGGCTGCCTGAAATGCAAGAGATTAGCTCGGGGAGGAGGGGTGGGGGTTCCAGACTCCCAAGGACTTGGAAAGACCCACTCTCTGACCTGCTCTAGACTCTGACACAGAGGTAGGAGTAGGTGGAGAGGGGATGGGGAGTGAACCCCATCTCCTAGTCTCCTCCCATCTTTCTAGGGTGGATCTGGTTGTTCATTCCCTGAAGGACCTGCCCACTGTGCTTCCTCCTGGCTTCACCATTGGTGCCATCTGCAAGTAAGAGTGCTGCCAGTCCGGGGCCCTGGGCAAGGGGGAGGCATCATATTAACCTTTTTCCCTGTGGGACTTGGCCCTCTGCATCTAGGACTGTCACCCCTGCTCTGAGGAGTGTCAAGCATGACCGAAAGCTCAGAAAATGCCAGTTAGTTGACTAGCGAGAGTGTGGAAGTAGCCTGACTTCAGATTTCTCCCTCATTCTGTCACCTCACTTCTACCCCCAGGCGAGAGAACCCCTATGATGCTGTTGTCTTTCACCCAAAATTTGTTGGGAAGACGCTAGAAACCTTATCAGAGAAGAGGTGAGTGGGGCCTGGATAGGCATGTTGATGGGATGTGCACAGGATAAGGGGGGTTGGGGGAGGAAGAGAACAGTGCCCTTCCAGGACTAACCTTACTTAAAACCCTCTCACTGTGCAGTGTCGTGGGAACCAGCTCCCTGCGGAGAGCTGCCCAGCTGCAGAGAAAGTTTCCACATCTGCAGTTCAAGAGTATTGTATCCTTTTAGAGGGAGGGAGCAGTAGCCAAGGAAGAAGCTGATGTCCAGAGGGCCCTGGGAATCCTGAGAGCAGAAGGACTTCCAGAGGGAGTGAATCATGGGGGCAGTGGACTATCCTTCCTCTCACCCACCTACCCACCCACCCATCCGTCTATAATCCTTTAGTGTTTCCTTAGTTTGAGGCAAGTGCCCCGCACTGGAGATAATAGTGAGCAAGATCTGTATTGTCCCTGCTTACACAGTTTACATTTTAGTCAAGGAAACAGACCAAAGGCATTGATAATAGTGATACTGAACAGTGTAAACCTTGGGGGATGGAAGTTACTTCCATTTTTCTTTAATATTCTATGTTGTTTTGATTTTTACAATGAATGTGATAAGACTTGTACACTGATTACCAGAACAGTATGGGCTAAGTGCTCCCATGTATAAGTAGGAGATTCTCTCAAGCTTCCAGCTGGAATATCTAAACACAGACTTTGGGGGTCAGGGAAGGCTTCTCAGAGATCTTGTAACCTTGGGTAAGTTTTTTAATCTCTATCATTTTCATGTCTGTAAAATAGAGATAATATCTACCTCATGGAGGTGTTGTGGAAATTAAATGAGTTAACACAGGTAAAGCACTTTGGAACAGTCTCTGGCATCTAGTATGAGATGTAAGCTGTCATGATGAAGCTAAGAACTGAAAGATGAAAAGTTAGGAACAGCACGAGGCTCCAAACTGTCCAGCGCTTGTGGTCCTTAGCATCTTTCCACAGCGGGGAAACCTCAACACACGACTTCGGAAGCTGGATGAGCAGCAGGAGTTCAGTGCCATCGTCCTGGCTGTAGCAGGCCTGCAGCGCATGGGCTGGCAGAACAGGGTGGGACAGGTAGGGGCTGTCCCTGTTCCCTGTCCAGTCAATCTTCGTCTCCTGCCTGCCTGTTTTCTCTTCTTGAACGCCTACCTACCTCTAACACTGCAAGCTGGGAATGATCCCAGGCTGGGAAGCTGAGGATTCAGAGACCAAACTCTCACTTTTGGTTGATTAGATTTTGTTTGCAAGGGAAGCCCCTTCTCACTGCTGTATTCTTTTTTTTTATTTTTTTATTTTTTTAAGATTAATTTATTTATTTATACAAGCACTGTGTACAGTCAGAGGTGCGGGAGGGTGAGAGAATTTACCAGAATCAGAGTGGAGAGCAGATCGGGCAGACTGATGAGGTACACTGTCCCGCTGCAGGAGGGGTCTGCGCACCATATGGGACCCTCGCTGGCGGCCAGGGATCGAACCGGCGCTGCAGAGGCTGCGGGCAGCTTCGCAACCCAGAGCCCAACTACTGAAACACCAGGGAGGCCCCTCACTGCTGTATTCTTTTAGGGATCCACATCTTTACCTTTTTGACTGCCTGTTCTGTCCCCACAGATCCTGCATCCTGAGGAATGCATGTATGCTGTGGGTCAGGTATGCTCAACATCTTAATGTACCCATTTCCTTTGTTCTCAACCACAAAGCTGGTGGCACAACCTCAGCACCTGCTTCCCCATAATAAACACTCCCAAGGAGGGGCAGGCCTTAGGAGGTAACTGGCTCAAAAGGCCCAGGGGAGCAGGTGGCAGTGGACTGATTCTCAACCTTAGCTCCATTGGTGGGAGAAAGGTTGGGCCTGATGGCTAGGCTGTTTTTTATCAGGGGGCCCTGGGCGTGGAAGTTCGAGCTAATGACCAGGACATCTTGGATCTGGTGGGGGTGTTGCATGATCCTGAGACTCTGCTTCGCTGCATCGCTGAACGGGCCTTCCTGAGGCAGCTGGTAGGACCTGTGTTCCTCTGGTAGAGGAGTGGGGTGTTGGGGAGGGTAATGAGATTTCTCAAATTAATGCTGTGTATTTAGTGGTAACTTATTCTTGAATGTTGTGCGTGAAGAGGACCCAATTCTGGGACCCCAGTTTCTTTTTCAGTTATATTTGAGGTTTATTTATTTTTGAGGGTTCTGGTCACAAGGTGGTGTTAAGTGAGAAATTCTTGTTGCAGGAAGGAGGCTGCAGTGTGCCAGTGGCAGTGCATACTGTTATGAAGGACGGGCAAGTAAGCAGAAGATGGGTGGAGGGAGGGTAGTGGCATTTTCCCTATGCATCCTGAGTGCCATGAGAAGAACCCAGGTTTCTGAGGAGACCCCTCTCAGAATATGCTGAGATAACCATTTTCTTCCCCAGCTGTACCTGACTGGAGGAGTCTGGAGTCTGGACGGCTCAGATAGCATGCAAGAAACCATGCAAGCCACCATTCATGTCCCTGCCCAGGTACCAAGGTTGAAGGCTGAGGGAGAGGGAAAGAAACCAGGCTCCATGTTATTTTCCCTTTGTGCTCATCAAAGCCCACCTCCTTCCCTCACCCAGCATGAAGATGGTCCAGAGGATGATCCACAGCTGGTGGGCATCACTGCCAGGAACATTCCACGAGGAGCCCAGCTAGCTGCTGAGAACTTGGGCATCAGCCTGGCCAACTTGTTGCTGAACAAAGGAGCCAAGAACATCCTGGATGTTGCACGACAGCTTAATGATGCCCATTAACTGGTCTGTGGGGCGCAGGTGTCTGGACTGCCACTGTCAAGTGCCTACATCCCAGTCGTCCGTGCCCCATTTTCACTGCTAACTGGGTAGTGACTACCCCAGGGGATCGAACTGCAGGGTCAGAGACCTCGAGGGACTTGCCTCTTGCCCCATCACTAGGTGGGGGCTTCATCTCCTTAGAGATAAAGTCCAAACCACAAGTTTGAATGTAACTAACTCTACTAATAAATCAGCTCTGAAGGTGGTCTTTTTGGTGGGGTTGCAAAAAAGGACAAACACGAAACCCTTTACTTCAGATACTGGGCTCTCTGTCTAATTTCTCTTGTTACACTGTTTCTGCCTCAGCAGTTCTGTTAACAGAATAACGTTTCCCAGGAAAAAAAACATGAAAAAGCCATAAACTTAAAATCCTCAAAAAAGAAAAATCCTATGACTTGCCCCTCTATCATTACTAGGGGCCTTAGTCTTGGAGTCCTGCACCCCCACTGCCTCAGGAGCCTGCAGAAGACCAAGAAGCCCTCAGTCCTACCACTCTTGCAAAATGAGAACAGACACTTCATTAAAAAAAAAAAAACAATCCTTTAATAAACAAAATTAGTCCATCTGAAACGCTCCAATACCTAAAGGTACTAGTCTTGGGTTGGCTGCAAAATTCCAGTACAGACGCCCGAGGAGGCTCAGTCCGGGCGGGGATCAGCCGACCTGTGCTGGTATCTGGGCGCATGGCTTGCCGAGCTGAGCTGCTGGAAGGGGAGAGCGGGCGAGGGCAGGCGGGGGCCCGGCGGCCTTCGCCTTCCGACCAGGGGCCGCTGCCCCTCCCGCCGGCTCCTCCGGGGCCGGCTGTCATCTGAGGAAGGCTGTGCGCGCTGCCGCGGCCGCGCCTCACCTCACAGGCCTCTGAAGATGGAGGGAGACCTGACGTGGAAGCCCCGGGGGTTGGCGGCCAGGGGGGCTCAGAACCAACGAGCCGTCGCGCCCCCGCCGCAGGCTGCAAGTCAACAGTCGCGTCCGCGGCGCCGGCCTGAGCACCACGCGGAGGAGCCGGGGCCGGGCCGCGCAGGTCGGCTGAGGAGGTCGCCGGCGACCGTCCGCTCCGACTCACCTTCAGGCCGCCGGCCCTGGCCCGGGCCGCACACCTGGGCCTTCCAGAGGGGGCCGCGGCGAGCCCGGGGCCGGCTGAGTCACGCGCGCGGGGCGGGCAGGTGCGGCGACCCCGCCCCCCCGCGGCCTCCGCGCCAGCCGCGCGCGCGGCCCCTCCCGCCGGGATAACGGGGAGGCCGCGGGGGGAGGGGCGCCGGGCGCGGGCGGAGGGGAGGCGGCGCGGGCGGGGGCCCGGCGTGGCCAGCTCTTTCGGTGAGGGCGGTGGTGGCCCTGAAAAGGGCCTTTGTGGTGGCGCGGGGCGGGCCGGGCGGCCCGGGGCGGCGGCGACGGGCGGGCGCCTCAGTACTCCTGAGAGGCCTGCGTGGCCTTCTTGCCGCCGGCGGGCGCCTTCGGCCCCACGGTGGCGCTGGTCTTCTTGGGCAGCAGCACGGCCTGGATGTTGGGCAGGACGCCCCCCTGCGCGATCGTCACGCCGCCCAGCAGCTTGTTGAGCTCCTCGTCGTTGCGGATGGCCAGCTGCAGGTGGCGGGGGATGATCCGCGTCTTCTTGTTGTCGCGGGCCGCGTTGCCCGCCAGCTCCAGGATCTCCGCGGTGAGGTACTCGAGCACCGCGGCCAGGTACACCGGCGCGCCCGCGCCCACCCGCTCGGCGTAGTGGCCCTTCCGCAGCAGCCGGTGCACGCGGCCCACCGGGAACTGGAGGCCGGCGCGCGACGAGCGCGACTTGGCCTTGGCGCGGGCCTTGCCGCCCGTCTTGCCGCGGCCCGACATGCTGCGTGAGGTAGCGGAGCGGTGAGGAAAAGAGGCGCCGAAGGGCCGCCGAACAGCCGACCGCCGCAGTCCAACTGCCGCCGCGAGCGCCCGGGAGCCGCCCTTATAAGCCCCAGGGCACACCCCCGCGCCCTCCTGATTGGCTCTTATGCCTACTGCCCGCCTCCGGTTGGTTGCGCTTAACCCTTGGGTGACGCACGTCGACTGAGGGAGCGCGCCCGCCCATTGGCCGAATTTGAAAAGCTCTTGCCCGGGGAAAAAGGCGAGGAGGGGCGGTGGCCAGAGCCAGCCTACCGCTCCCCGACGGAGCCAGTCCCTGCGAAGCGCGCGGAATTTAAACGCTACAGCCCCGATCCGAACCGGAAGACTAGGTGGGCGCAGTCGGAAGCCACGTGAAAAACCTCCTCTGGGCAATCTGTGCAGGCCTAAGGATTTTAAAGCAAAGGGGTCAGCACTGTAACTACCTCTGCTTCCTCTTCCTCCTCCCAGCCTGCAAAGGCAGAGTGAAAAAGGGAAGAAATAAGATCCCACTGAAAATTCCACCATATGCCAGAAGGCAGAAAGTCAGTCTTGTGACCCTCGGAGCCACCTGAAGTATCAGGATATTGTCTGGTCTCAGCTCTTTCAGTTCACTTGTTAGAAGATGCCTAGTATTATACTGAAAGAAAAAGAATGGGGCAGAGAGAGAGGCATCCTCTCGGAGAAGGTGCCTCCACCAACCCTCCCAATCAACCCTAAAATATTTCCTATAGGAAATACACCTAGAGGAACAAGAAGAAGAAGTAACAATTTATTGTCATCACTGGGAGCACCTTCCATGTTCCCCACCCCCCCAGGTCTGCTCTTAGTAATCAGAATACTTAATTTATAGTGAAATGTCAAGTCATCTTCAAGTCTGTTCCTATCCCAGTCAGGGCCAAAACATTCCCTGAGTCCGAGCTGTGGATAATGGCATAAAACTGCATAAAAGTTGCTGTCTCCCGCCTTAGTGGGGCGCAGAGACAGGAGGGAGAGCTGAAGAAAGCCACAGACAAATTCCAATCTCCAGGATGTCGACAATCACAGGGGAGAAGAAATGCTGCGAACAAAATCTGGAGGAGAATGAACGGCGGGAGAGGCCTGGACAGGAGGCAGTCTTGGTCCAGAAAGAGGTGGGTGTTAGTCAGGAACCCTGATGACTGTGAAGTAAGGCCAGTGATCAGGGGACTCAGACATCATAGAAGAGTCGGACAAGCTGATACCGAATGGAGAAGGTGAGGGCACTGCCCAGGATCTGCCAGGAGAAACAGACTAGAATAAGAACCACAAAGGGAGACAAGGTGGTAAAACCCCACCCCCAACCATTCTGCACCTGTAGCAGCAGCAGGAACAGTGTGAGGTTTCTCTCATGCATAGGCCCAAAGACTTTAAGCAGCAAGTTGATGAGGGTCATGTTATTACATTCTGTAAAGGCACCATCCTCGTTCTCACCCTGGTGCACAGTCACAAGCCGGAGGCCCTCTGCTACCTGGAGAGGCCAGAGGCAGAGATAACGTCAACTAACACCTAAGCTTCAGGAATGGGGATCTGCTTAAAACTTCCAAACTCCCCTTTGATTTGATTCAGGCAGGGCTAGGTTCCCCACTCCCTGAATTCAGGATGGAGGCCTAGAGCCTTACCTCCTTGTTACCCTGTTACCTTTAGAATAAAGGTGCCCAAGAAAGAGAGGCTCTTGGTCTTGAACTTGGAATAGCTCATCTCCAGTTTGCCTGTCTTGGTATTGAGTCTGCAGGGGGAATGGTGGGGGGGGAGGGGGGAAGAGAGCTTTATGTGACTGGGACACTACTCAAAGGACTCTCCTCAAAGTGGTTAATTTATAGGAAGTGCACTGAATGTGGAGTCAAACAACCTGAGACCTAATTCTGACTCCGCTACTTACTACTGTGTGATCAGAGCGGCTGTGAACATTAAATCAGATTATGTAAGTAAATGTCCTCAGTAATTTATAAAGGGTTGCCCACATGAAAAGTTAAGTCGTTCTTTGGACCCACTCCTTTTGCACAATAAGTGTATAAGGCTAACTTTATGCAGCACAAGTGAAAAAGTTATGATGTCCCTTTCAAGTCCCAAAGTGGCTACCTGGGTATGCGGTGTCGAGGGCAGGGGATGATATGCAGAAGTTGAGGCAGTGAATAGAGGAAGTTGAACACCTGGGGCATGAAGAAGAGTAGCATGGTCTTGCTGAAGTGTCCCAAGATGCCCACCACGGCAAAGGTCATGCCAGCAAAGTAACAGAAGGTATCTCCCACAAACACCCGTGATGGGTACCTGTTTGGGGGAGAGCCGCTTAGTCAGTGGCAAGAGCCATTACCAACCCTTTTTCTCACATCACACATCCTAGGTGCTGGGCTAGAACTGGCGCTAGTTCTGGCTCAGAGGAGACTCCAGCTCTCCCAAGGTCTTGAATTCATCTATTCCTGAGGCATCCACAGCACTTGCCCACAACTATTGCTGGGTAGAGCGCAATTTCAGGTTACTATCAACAAAAGAGTCAAAACACACTCAACACAGGGATGCAGAGGTTTACCCTCTCCATCCAGGGATGGGGCACAATCAGGGCCATGATGGCCACACATTCAAATAGTTGCCCCTCCCTCCCTTCTCCATAGCCCTACTTACCAATTATGGTAGAGCAATCCCAAGGTGGTAAAGAAAAACGGTATCATGAAATAGAGGGAAAATACATGATCATCCCGGTAATCACCTTTTGAAGCAGGGGGAAAAGAGAAAAGGAAAAGTTGATAGCCACTGCCCCTCCAAACCACCACATCAGTCCTATTTTCATCTGTCTCCAAGTTCTGTCCCATTTTGTACTCTCCCAAGCCACAGTCAAGAACTCTCTACCCCTTTTAAGGTATTCAAGTAATTCCTAATACTCCACCTCTTTCATGAAGCCTTTCTAAATTACTGTCTTCTTATTTTTTTTTTTTAAAGATTTATTTATTGGGCCTCCCTGGTGGCGCAAGGGGTTAAGATGCAATCTATGAAGCAATCCGCAGCCTCTGCAGCATGAGTTCAATCCCCGGCCAGCCAGGGAGCAACCCACATGGCGCAGCAGACCTCTCCTGTCTTGCCCGCTACCCCCCTCAGCAGTGTATTTCAGTCAGTCTGCCTGTTCTGTTCCCTGCTCTGCCTCTGGTGAATCCTCTCAAACCTCCCCCACCCCACCTCCACCACCGCATCTCTGGCCTGTGCACCAGCTCTTGTATGCATAAATAAATATTTAAAAAAAAATAAAGATTTATTTATACAAGAACCGGGGTACAGGCCAGATGTGCAGGAGGGTGAGAGGATTCACCAGAGACAGAGTGGGGAACAGAACAGGCAGACTGGCTGAAATACACTGCTGAGGGGAGCAGCGGGCAAGATAGGAGAGGTCTGTTGCATCATGTGGGTTGCTCCCTGGCTGGCTGGGAATCGAGCCTGTGCTACAGAGGTTGTGGACAGCTTCACAGCACTGCATTCAACCCGCTGCGCCACCGGGGAGGCCCTCTAAATTACTGTCTTAAACTTAGTTTAGATTGTTCACACCTAGGTTTCAATACCAGCTTTACTTCCTATCTATGTGACCTTGATCATGCCACATTAATTTCCTGAAGCCTCAGTTTCCTCATTTGTAAAATATGGTTGATGGTAACACTTGCCACACAGCTAGTATAAAGGTGAAATGGAGACTATATAAAAAGGGCTTAGCTTTAATAAACACCTACTGATGCCCATTAGCCAAAAATGACACGCTTGAAGCAAAAGCTATGTTTACTGACTTCTTGTAACAGGGGAGACTTTGAAATCATAGGCCATGGGGAATCATGGGGTGCCTCAGTAACAGGGTGTTAGGAGAACTTGTTATAGGAATTGTTTGAAGAAGTTCTGAAGAGGATGCAAGGGGCAGAGGTTTGCCCTGAACTAGGTGCTGTCAACAGGAATAATTCTATGAGCATTTTTATCTAAGATGTGGGAGGAGCACACTATTCTACTACACTGTACTCTGCTCTCTCCAAGCCCATCATGGCCACCATTCAGCACATGCTGAGAAGATGGTGCCTGGCGAGCAGCAATGGCTTTGATGAACATGGGAAGGAAGTGGGAGTGGGAACTTCTCTGCGAAAAGTGGATGTGATGGCCAAACTGGATTGTGTCATCACGTTTACGTGTGTGTGTGATCATTTTTAATGGTAAAACCTCACATAAAAACTGAGAACACTTTGAAAACACAGTTTTCATGTAATCTGCAAGAGAAGTTTGAAGAAACTACAGTGGATGGCAGAAAAACTTGTTTGCAAGTTTACAGATTTTTGCAAGTTTACAAAACGGCCCATTGGTTCAACATGAGGAATGGGATGGGAAGAAAAGCACAGTAACAAGAAAACATGATGAATAATGTCACCTGAACTTGGGTCTATGAAAAAGTAGAATAAATATTCCATCATCAGTTTGGACAGGAATTGTTACAAAGATGAACAAGGTTAGTTTAATGATCAAATCTCCAAACTGCGTTTTTTTTTTTTCCACTACTGTCATCAATTACCTTTATCATAATATCTGACATGCAACTTTTTTTTTTTTTTTTTTTTTAAAGATTTATTTATTTACTTATACAAGCACTGGGTACAGTCAGAAGCGCGAGAGGGTGAGAGAATTCACCAGAGCCAGAGCGGGGAGCAGAACAGGCAGAAGGACGGAAGTACACTGCTGAGGGGAGCAGCGGGCGGCAGGAGGGTTCTGCGCGCCATGTGGGACCCTCCCTCGGTGGCCGGGGAGCAGCCGGGGATTGAACCGGCTCTGCAGAGGCTGCGGGCAGCTTCGCAACCCAGCACTCAACCGCTGCGCCACTGGGGAGGCCCATGCAACTTTTTTTATAAAGTGTTGGTTCCATTAGGATCATCCCTTTGGCTATTAAGTAAGTCTGTGCTTAAAATAAAAAGATGTGGGGGCCTTCCTGGTGGCCTAGGGATTAATTCTTAGTGCTATCACCGTGAAGGCTTGAGTTCAATCCCCGGCCAGGGAGCTGACCCACATGTGGCGCATCAGAACTCTCCTGTACTCTCCTCTGCTCTCCTGTGTCACCTGCTACCCCCCTTAGGCAGTGTATTTCAGTAGATCCACCTGTTCTGCTCCCCACTCTGTGTCCTCTCACCCCGCCCTCCCCCCACACCTCTGGCCTATACCCCTATGCTCAGACATGGTTATGGAGGGTTCTGGTTATTGTCTTACTCTCTTGTGGTCACAGAGTGATCCTGTCTGACATTGGAGTTCTGTGAAACTGTTATGCTGTTCTACAGAAGACCATGGCCGAGTGCCCACCTAGCTTGAAAGAACAGGAATGCTATTTTTGTTTCTCACATTTCATAACTCTTAGTTGTTATTTGCAAAGTAAATAGCTTCTTTTAATCTTCCATAATTACTCCATATTGCTTTTTCCCTGAATGCCCCCAAACCAGTTATCAGGCAACTCCCTTAACAATTAGAATTCTCCTTCTTTCTACCTGTCATTCCACCTACCTTCCAGCTCTACCAGGTTGAAGACAATGATGGAAGCTGAAATAATCAGTGACTGGCCAGCCTCTAGGCCATTAATTCCTGCCAGGATATTGATGGCATTGGTACAGAACACTGCTAGCAGCCCCATGTAGACATAGTACAGGATCCCTGGGGGGAGAAAAAGAGAAGAAGTAACACCACCTATAGAATGAGGATTTAAGGACATTCTTCTGAGAAAAGTGGTGAGAACGTGTTAAAATGAAGGGCCCACACAAAGAGCCTGAGGGACAAAACAGGGACACCTGGAGATGAACGTGCAGCACCAGTAAGAATGCCCTAGTGGGTATATCACAAAGGTGTCTTGAATATCAGGCCATAGGGGCAATAATGATAGGGTTACTCACCCAAGTCCAGATGTAGGCCAAGAAGCAGACGGAAGGGCTTCGGTACCACAATAGTTGTGTTGCCAAAATTAGTGAAATAGACCATAAGGAGAGGTAGTGAGGCAGCTGTGGGCAGCAGCAGTTTATGTCGCCAGCGCAGGTTCAGTACATCATCGGCGAATCCCAGGAATATCATGCAGCAGATCGCGAGCAGTGCACCTATTAGGGCCACAAACTGGGGGAGGCTCGGGCAGGTCACAGATCAAGCCTTCTCCCACTTTACCTTTCTTTTCAAGAATTCCTGTCTTTTCGATCATTAATCAGCGCCTTCCTCCAAGCCAACCCCTTAACCCCCAACTCTCTCGGCTATTCCCCCGACCCCAGCTATAGGCAACCGCCCCCAGTAACCCACTTACTTCATGGTGAGGGAAGGCTTTACACTGCTCCTCCACAAAGCAGTTCAAGAAAGGGAAAGGGATGAAGCAGAAGAGGATGATAAGGAAAACAGCACCGCTGATCACTCCCTGGGATTCTGGGCTGCAGCCCCAGCAGGAAAAGGGCGTAGGAGGAAGAGGAAAGGGGGCGTGGTCACTCACTAGCGCAGGCATTACAGTCACTAATGGGGGCATGGGGGCACCATTGCTAGAGTCTCTGATACACCCAAGTGTCCCCCACCTATCCCTTCCCCAATCCTAACCAGTTCTACCCTTCACCTCCCAAAGTTCCAGGCTGTCTGCTGGGTTAGTGATGCGTTTCGGCGCACAGTCAAGCATCGCAGACCCTGCCCCTGACCAGCCCACCCCCTTGCCTCAGTCCTTGTCCCCGGCCTGGACCCATGTTCCGACGCTCACATCTCCTGCCGGTCTGATTTGTTGAGGTCCTGGCCACAGAGGCGCGCGGCGATGAAGTGGCTACGGAAGGCGGGGATGAGGGTGAGTGTGGCCACAAATCCCAACAGCGAGCCGATCAGATTCACCAGCAGGGGCATTGGCATCGGCAACTCCGGGAAGGCCCACATAGTGACCCTCCAGAGCCCGCTTTGGCGCCTCAACAGCTAACCCGCAAGCTGGCAGAAGTCCCCAGGCCCCATAAGGAGCGGCCGCTTCCAACAGACTGGCTCTTTCTGCACCAACCTGAGCAAAACCCAACTTTCACTTGAGTCACCCTGGGGACTCCCTCAAGCTTCTACAAAGCAATCTTGGCTCTGCCCCACTGTATTCGCCTACCCTCGATTTCCGCCCGGATCTTGTTCGTAGAGCACTATCGCCGTGGAAGGCGGCGGCAGCCATTTTTAGTATGGGCAAAAGAGGAGATGCGTGATCTCTTAAACTATTTTCTTTGTTCCAGAGGTGGATCATCAGGAGAGTATTGAAAAATTAAAGAAAGGCAAACAACAGAGGATACTTTTCTAATGTCATGTTAAAGATACAGTGCACTGCAGAAACACACACCCACACCCCTCCCCATCCTTGCCCGGTTCCAAGATGAACGCCTCCTATACCACGTATCGGACGCTCCTTACACCTCGTTCCACGTCAGTTTTGGCTCGGTCGGCTCCCGTAGGTCACTTTTAAAGGGCTAGAACCCGGAGTTTATTCTGGAAATGGGGGCCGCTGGAGTTCGGAAGGTGGCTACTGGGAGCATGGAGGTTGGAGGGACAAGAAAGTGGAGCAGAGTCGGTTCCGTGTAGAAAACCTGTTGTCAACTTAGTAAATACAACTCAGTTCTCAGAAACGCAACTATAGTTTGGGAAAATGATGTCAACGCTGAAGCGTAGACACTTGAAGAGCCCCCTCCCGCTTCAGTTTTTCTTGTCCTTGATCCAGGTATTTTTCCTTCAACATCCCACCCACCTTCTGCCCCCGCAGTAGCTGTTAGTTGCCTGGCAACTAACCCAGTGGCGCACTTCATCACCGCAGGCGCTAGAAGTGCCCTCTGGTCTTGGATTTCACCCGGTACTTGAGTTTCCTAGGCTCTGGATCACTCCATTGTGCCAAGCTCCCCAAACCACAGAGGTGAGGCTGAGGTTGTGGCAAGAGCTGAGGAAGCAGGAGGACCAGACTCAGTCAAGTTTCATCCTCCAGGTTACCAGGCCTTTTACTTGGCACCTGTATCATTGCCAGTAACAGTTCTGCATCTTCATTCTCTTTCCTTTCCCACAAGCTCTTAGGTGGCAAACGATTTTCATTCCTCAGTGAGGAAACCACCACCAGGGAGTCAGAAAACACTCAAATATCCTGGCACTTTGTCCCACTCTTTGGAATATGGCATGCTCCAGGAGTCAGGGTTGGTTGACTCCTTTTATGCCAAAGACAGTCCCTCCTGTCTCTAAGAATGGGTGTGGATGTCCTTTCTATTTGAAGGTAGCTCTAATCAACAAAAAACTATATGTATGTATATATTTATGTACATGTCATATATACTTTGTATAGATATTAAATCATTCTAGTAATTTATTGATAACATTCCACCAAATTTTCTGTAGTTATTATTACACTGGTATTGTTTCTGTGTGTGTGTGTGTGTGTGTGTGCACGCGCACTCTGCCTCCTAGACTGGTAACTCCCTAGAGGCAAGTGTTTTCAATTCCACAGGGTGTTCCCTTGGAGCTAAAGGCATAGAATTTTCTGCATATAGAGCATCATCACATATATGAGTCTGGGTCTGACAGAGGACAACTGGAACACGTGGAGAGAGCAATTGGTTGTGAACAGGGGGAGTGAGAGACTCTTGAGGAAGAGTAGTATCTCCAAAGGCTTCCATAGATGGTAAGAGTGGATGGGCCTTCCAAAGGGAAAGTGAGATGCCGGGAGCAGGTGGAAAGGAGGAGCCTGTGGGAGCCACAGAGGAGACAGCATACAGTTATCTTGTTGATCAGGAGCAGGCTAAGACTCCTTGGAGGTCTGTGGAACAGTTTATATCTATTTCCTTTTTTATTAGGATGCTAATCCTAATATAACTTCCCTTCTCAGCCTGGCTTTGGGAACCTTTTTCTCTCTCTTTTCCAGGGATCATTAGCTCCCCCTCCCCCACTTCTCCACTGGGGGTCTAGTTCAAAGATAAAGCACTAGGGATTCATCCTGGTATCCATGTTGCCATCAGAACATGGTTACTTGGATACTTGTCATATAATCTGAATATTTTTGCTCCCATGATGGTAAAAGTCCAGTTGATTGTCAGACTAATCAGAAGGGCAAACAAACAAAAATAAATGAACACATGACTTGACCTCACTTGAACTTCTATTCAGGCAGAAGTTCAAAGCATTTTCCTGAATGCTGAGCTGGTCTTAGGACTCTGATCAGGTGAGTTGTCAATGGTATCAGCTGGCTTCTTGGGCTGAGCAGATAATGTCTGAGATGTGAGTGTTCTATGGAGCCCTGAATACCTTCTAGTCAGCAAGGTCAGTTCACTATTGCATCTGATTGCCTGAAAACATCTGTCTCCAAAATGTTTCATAGTACCTAAAAAGAAAAAAGGAGACAGTTTTTAACAGTCTGGGACTATGACACTTGCAGGACCATATCTGTGGCTCTTTTCAGGCAGTTGGGTCACTCGTTTTCCTTTCATTCCTGTCTCTCCCTTATCAGTTTATCAAAAGCAAACCCCAAGATCTCCCATTCCATTGGGATGGCATGGTTTTGCAAAAAATGGAGATAATACAGGGATTCTTAGGGTTTACATGTAAAGTAGAATATTTTTTGTTAGACTTCTTTTTTTAAAAAGATTTATTTATTTATGCATACAAGAACTAGGGTACAGGCCAGAGGTGTGGGTGGGGGTGAGAGGATTCACCAGAGACAGAGTGGGGAACAGAACAGGCAGACTGAATGAAATACACTGCTGAGGGGAGCAGCAGGCGAGTCAGAGAGGTCTGCTTCGCCATATGGGTTGCTCTCTGGCCAGCCAGGGATCGAACTCGTGCTTGCAGAGGCTGAGGATTGCTTCATAGGTTGAGTCTTAACCCCTTGCACCACCAGGGAGGCCCACTCTTAAGCAGTTTCCCTCTCACCTCTATATGGTGAGAGGGAAAAGCAGACATACAACAGCTAGATTATAAAGGAGAATGAAATAAATAATAGGTCTGAGTAAAAGTGGCAGGAAGATTGGGCAGACTGACTAGGGAGACTCATGTTCTAATGAACTGCAAAGCAGTACCTGGCAGTGCTCTGTGGAGGATTTGAGGAATTAAATCCCAAAATTTAGAGGGCTGAGATCCCTGGAGGGATGGGAAAATCAAAGAGTTCCTAAAGAAGGGGTCCTGGAGGAAAGGGTATTCGTAATGAAACTTTGCACCCTGGTTTCTGGTCCTGACTTACCTCCTCCCTTTATTTTTCAGTCTTTTCCCCCCTCAAGATTAGAAACCTAGACTTTAGGAATCGCTATTGTTTTAGGAATCCAGAGATGATGGACTGGGAGAGCCATTGTGAGGTTACCTTGTTGTACACACACCCATCATTCTTTACAGTGAAATCCAGGAACACCCCAAGCTACCTATCTTTCCTCCTCTGGCTCAGACAACCGGACCTTCCAGGTTCTGCTAACTGCAACCAGGCACTTAAGGAGGCACTGTTTACTCTCATGCGTTTATTCCTCAGACTAATAACTGGATTGGGGAGCGAAATACTTAACACCTTCCCTGTCCACTCCTCCAAGCACTATGTGCCCAAAAGAAGAAGGGCCTTTGAAGAGTGGGGTATTCCTTTGAATCCTTTTGTAGGATTTCCCTTCTTTTGCTTCCAGAAAGCACTGGCAAGCCCCTGTCCAATAGGGACTGAAGACATTCTTTTAAATCAAGGAAAAGGGATGGATCCTGAGGCCAGATGTACCTATGGCATCGTTGTTTTGGATGCTTGTTGGGATAGCACATATTTGGAAGGCAGGGTCTTCTGGCTGAATCTATTGATAGTCCAGTGCTACATTGCCAGCTCCCTCCTCATCACCACCCCCTCTACACTCAGCGCTTCATAGGCAGGAGCTGTTACTATGGAAATATATTATTTTTAAAAACAGAAACAGCCCCAGGCTTGGGAAATATCTCCAGAACAAACCCACACTGGCAAGGAGGTTAACAGGGGGTGTTCCTGAGTTCTAGCTCCACAGGGAGGAGAGGTGGTGGGGATGGAGTGGGGGTGTTCATATTCCAAGTTCTGTTCTCAACCTCTACTAGGTTGAATTCTGCTCTCTCCCTGGCCAGTATCACCTGGACATCTGCTGGACACTTCTACCTAGGAAGCTTGCGCTGCACCTACTTACCCGGAGCCTAGCTTCGGCCACGAATAAGGAATCAAGAAACTGCAAGGCCTGGAGGTGTAAGGAGAAGGGGCTGATGCTATCCACAGGGGTCACCTCCTTCTTAACCCCACAGGCGTCTAAACTATAGAAATCTAAGGAGCGCAAGGAAAAGCAGAGCCGGCATCTAAGGTGAGTGAAATTACTGTTAAGAAGTCGGGTGAGGGGGAGTACCCGGATTCCAGGATGGGGCGGGGTGGCCAAAGATCCCGCCTATTTTCCACCTCGGAGTCTCCTCCCCTCGGGCCCTCTTCTAATGCCAGCGCCCGGGGGCTCGCCAAGCTCCGCCCCGCGCGGGTGCGGCTCCTTTAAGGGCGGGTGGGGGTGGGGCGCCGGCGGTGTTGTCAGTGTCAGTTCTGCGCACGCAGCCCTCCCGGAGCCGGTGCCGGCCCGCGAGCCCCCGCTTCTCTGCAGGAGAGTCCCCGCCCGGGTCCCGGAGCCGTGGGGAGCAGTCGGCGCTGGCTGGTGGACTAACCCGGGTCGGGCCGCCGGACCAGCCGAGGAGGGAGCTGCACGGTGGAGAGAGGACCCTGGTGTGGCGACCCCGCAGCACCGCCTCCCCTCGACCTGTGACACCGCGAGCCCAGAGCGCCCAGCTCCGGAGAACCCTCCAGCTCGCGCTCCCGGCCCCGGGGAGCCCGCTCCCGCCCCTCGGCCCGCCCGGGCCATGCTCCCCCGGGGCAGCCGCTGAGCTGGAGCCGGGACCGCGACCGGAGCCCGCGCGGAGCATGGATCCGGGCTGGGAGCAGCCGGACGTGGGCTGGGTGGCCCTGCTGATCCTCTTTGCCGCCTCTCTGCTCACGGTGTTCGGGTGGCTGCTGCAGTACGCCCGGAGCTTGTGGCTTGCGCGGGCCCGCAGGGCCGGGGCGGGGGACCCGCCTTAGCTGCCGAGCCCGCGGGCTCCCTGCGGGAGCTGGGCGTGTGGCGCTCGCTGCTCAGGCTGCGGGCGACTCGGTCCGGTGCCCCCGAGGAAGCAGGTGTCCGTGGCCTCCTGGCGTCACTCTTCGCCTTCAAGTCTTTCCGGGAGAACTGGCAACGGGCTTGGATGCGAGCGCTGAACGAGCAGGCCTGCAGGGACGGGGTGAGTGGGACGGGAGCACCAAGGTGGTCCTCTGGGTCTTTCCTGGCACAGGAGTGCTTAGGCCAGGGGGGGCGGATACGGTTGGGGATGAAGTGGGAGAACCCCACGACTTCCTTTTCCTTCCTGGATGGGAGAAAAGGGTGCAGATGAGGTTGGAGGTTGCAGAAATCCAGCACCAACCCAAATCCTCTATTCCTGTGCACAAGATACTCTGACTCCAAACCCTCACAAGTTGCTGTTCTCATAGCAACACTAATCCCTGTGCCCCAGGGCACTTCCGCCTAGCCTGGGTGCTGGTTGTGTTGCGGGGTGGTGGCTGAGTGGTAGGAAGACAGGTGCACCTGTAGAAGGAATTTGCCTGGTTCTCATGCCACCACACCCAGTTAACATATCATGTTCCACATCCTTGGCGTGGTCAGGCAGATCCCCAAGGAACCTGAACTACCCACCTTACCCCTATAGCAGTAATTTCACTCTATAGTATTAACACATCCTTCTATATGCTGGCATGTAGTGTATGTGTTGGAAGAAAGGTGTTCAAATGGAGAGCAGATTAGTCTGGCAATGCCCCTGAGGGTCAGTTACAAATCAACTCAGCCTACTTCCTCCCATTGCACCATGGTCATCTGGCCTCCCAGGAAGTGGGGCAGGAAACGTGGTCATAAGACTGAAATGGGGTGGGAGGTAGAGGCCACCTTCTCGAGGGGTCCCCTCCCATCCTTTCTCCTTGACCTCACAGCATCACTCTTTGCTCAGAGGGTGCTTTATTTCAACTTGCCACTAGTCTAAAGGATTTACTAGATACCCAAATGCCTGGAACAGAAGTGATCATACAAGAAATTGCTCTGAGTCTTTTGCTTAGCCGATCAGCAGAAGTCCAGATGGCATCTGTCACTCTATACCTTGAACCTCCACCCAGTTCTCCCTGTACCTTGTCCCTGGGTCAGGAGTGACTCCCCTGGACAGCTGACTCAGTTGGACATTGGCCTCCCTTGCAGGAGGTGGGGAGACGCGTTTCAAGCATCCATCTCTCATGTCCCTGGGTTTGGCCTTCAAATGAGACAGCTATAGTAGCAGAGAAGTTGGCTTTCTGGTTTGCCAGGCAAATGAGCCCTATGGATTTGTCTTTTCCCATCTCAAGACCAATCAAAGAGATGCCAGCTCACTCTGTGCCCCCACCTCTATTCTTTCTGTTCTGTTCTCTGGATGGGGCTATAGTAGGTTTCTTCCATTGATGTGGTAGAATTAGGAAGTGCTTTAAAGACCTAAGCTAAGCAGCTTTCTGCTCCCTAATGCCACCCTGCTTGAGGAATTAAGCAGGCTCCTCTGAGTCTGAGTTTGCTGAACCCTCTGAGTTTGCTTTTCTCCCCAGTCTCTCTGGAAAATTCCCCATGGCCATGCTGAGCCATGTTCTTGAGCTTCCACATCCTATTTATCTGGAAGAGGGCTTAATCTTGTTTTTCCAGCTCTTGTTTTGCATAAGTAGTCCTATTGCTTTCACCCTTAGTCAGCCATGACTTTTATGCCCAGTTATTATATCTAGATGGCAACCAACACCTTTATTGTTATTTTTTTATGCATACCTTTCTTTGGGTATAGTGTGCGGGAGAAAGAGGAAGGTGGGTGAAGAAAAGGGAGTCTCCTGGTATTCTAGGAGTCTTCAGCTGAAGGTGATTTAGGCACTAAGATTATCTAGCTCCCCAGATCACAGTGGTCTTTGGCATCTGCAGGCCCTTGGAGAGGCGGGCTTCGAGAACACCTCCTACCCTAAAGCCCTGAGCCAAAGAGGGGCCAGAAGCCAGCTTGCAGCTGAGGCCTCCGCAGTGGCAGGGCGCAGCCAGCAACTGAGTTGGCTAACCCTGTGGGGGGCAGCTCCAGAGACCTGATCCTGTGCCCACATTACTCCCTCAGAGCTCCATCCAAATTGCCTTTGAGGAGGTGCCTCAACTCCCACCCAGAACCAGCATCAGTCATGTGACCTGCGTAGACCAATCAGACCGCACCATGGTAAGGGTCTGATGGGCTTTCTTTAGGGCTTGAGGTGGGCTGAATCCCAGGGGCTTCTTAACCTGGAATCTTAACCTTAGGGAGTCAAGGACTGGCTTCAGGGGGTCTGAGAATCTCACTAAAATTACATGCAAAACGTGTGTGTGTGTGTGTTTGTATTTGTATTTTTCTGAAAGAGGTGTTTGGCTTTTATCTGATTCTTTCATGGGTTTATGAACCCAAAAAGGTAAAGAAGTCCCAAGGAAAACTGAAGTGGGATGGGGTCTGACCCATTAGAGGCCACCCTGTCATGGGGCCCCCTCCCATCCTTTCCCAGTAATCTCTCTCTGACCCATTATAGGGACAGTGGAACTCCCTTCCTTGTGCCTAACGCTTCTTGTCTCCATACCTTGCCTGTCTCAGGTGCTGCATTGCCAGCTCTCTGCTGAGGAGGTGCGGTTCCCAGTCTCTGTGACCCAGCAGTCCCCCGCTGCTGTCTCCATGGAGACCTACCACGTCACTCTGACACTGCCACCAACACAGGTGGAGGGGGATGTGGGAAACTGAGTTGGTCAGGGGGTGGTTCAATTGCTTTAGCTTTTCAGTTTGGTTCTTCCCTGGGGTGGGATTTGGGGAGTGGGGTGGGGAGCCCTAGGGAGCTGTGAATAGTTGGAGAAATGGGGCCAGTCTACCCACTCCCTTTGTCCCTTGTCCCCAGTTGGAAGTCAATCTGGAGGAAATCCCTGGTCAGGGGCTGCTAGTATCCTGGGCCTTCACTGATCGGCCAGAGCTCAGCCTGACGGTGCTTCCCAAGCTGCAGGCCAGGGAGGTAAGGGGACAGGACTGGAGGGAAAAGGCAGAACAGGGAAGGGGAGGCAGAGCTGAGGACCCCATCTCTTTGTTCTTTCCTTGTCCTCCCTGCAGAGAGGTGAGGAGCAAGAAGACATCTCCACTATTGAGGAATTAATCAAGGATGCCATTGTCAGCACCCAGCCAGCCATGATGGTCAACCTCAGGGCTTGCTCTGCCCCTGGAGGCCTGGTGGGTAGGAGTTTAAAGCAAACTGGCCCCAGAGTACTATGTCAGGATTCCTGCTCTTTTTACTTCCTTTGGTTCTTAGGTACCCAGTGAGAAGTCACCCATGGTGCCCCAGGCCCAGCCAACCTTCCCTAGACCTACCCGGTTATTCCTACGACAGCTTCGAGCATCTCACCTGGGAGGTGAGTTGCAAGGTGAGAGCTAGAAGTGCTTGAGAGATCACCAAAGCTCTGGTTGCAGGCTCTCTCTGACCCTTTGTCAAGGGCACAGCCTCTCTATCCACAGTGGATGCCCATCTTTGATCTGAGCCTCTTCTCACTTCTATTTCCCCACAGGCACTGGGGAACTGTGCTGTGTCGCTGAGCTTGACAACCCCATGCAACAAAAGTGGACCAAGCCCGTGAGGGCTGGTTCCGAGGTGGAGTGGACCGAGGACCTGGCACTGTAAGGAGTGATGCCCCCCACCCCTACTTCCATGGGCGGACTGAGGATGAAACCCTTTCAGCAGAGCCCTGGCAGGAGTCAGCTGTTTCCCCGGGTGTGAGCCTCTATTGTATGACAGGCCCTGGGGATACATATGTGACCATGAGACACACTCAGCCTGAGTAGATAGCACACTTGAGGCAGAGAGATGCAAATAAACAAGATGGTTTATACAAGGTTTCTACAAAGTGCCCTGGGAGTACTTGGGGGTAGGGGGTGGCATTAATTTCCATAGTGGAATAAGAATCAGAATAGGCTTCATGGAGGAGGTGGCATTTAGGTCATATCTTAAGCAAGAGTAGGATTTCAACAGAGTGTAAGAGTATTCTTGACAGAGGGAACAGAGGGTAGTTTAACATAGAGAGATGAACTGGGAAGGCAAGGTAGGCGGGGCTGGGCAAGGGTTGAATATCCAGCTTGGTAGTGTGGTCTCCACTCGAGCCCTGTCCCATTCTCTTGGGATGAGAGAGTATTTGGAGGGCAGAAGTTAATCTGATTAAAATACTTGTACCATTTAGATGCATCTCTTTCAGTGCCTTTGACCTATGATCGGCTCTAGGGTGGATTCAGTTTGTTAATCTTCCCCTCCCTGACCCATCTCCTCTTGATCACAGGGATCTGGGCCCCCAGAGCCGGGAGCTGACCCTCAAAGTGCTGAGGAACAGCACCAGTGGAGATGGTGAGTATGGGGCGGGAAGGAGCCCCTTTGGGTGGGTGCCGAGCGGGGCCTGGTCATGGACCCAACTCACAGTGCCTCCCCTTTTCCCAGCTGAACTCCTGGGCCAGACCACATTGCCTGTGGGCTCCCCTTCTAGACCACTGTCTCGAAGACAGGTGTGCCCACTCACCCCTGGGCCAGGGAAAGCCCTGGGACCAGCAGCCACCATGGCAGTGGAGGTGAGAAGTTGACCCCTGGGGGGAAGATGGGAGAAACAGCAAAGGGGAGTCTTTGAAGTCCTGTGTCTTTGCTCTTTCACCCGTTGGCAGCTTCAATATGAAGAGGGCTCCCCCCACAACCTGGGCACTCCCACCCCCTCCACTCCACGTCCCAGCATCACTCCTACCAAGAAGATTGAGCTGGACCGGACCATTATGCCTGATGGCACCATTGTCACCACAGTCACCACCGTCCAGTCCCGGCCCCGTGTAGATGGCAAATTAGGTAAAGAAGAGGCACCTGGGGGCCCGGTTCTGGCCAGGGGACCCTGCTGCAGATGCATGACAGGATAGGGAAGGGGCGAGGAGAGCCTTCATTCTGACACCTTCCTCATTGTCTCTTTCCAACTTTCCCTTGGATCACCCCATCTCTCCACTTTCTCCTCCTTTGATCCTCTGGATCCACGGTCTTTATTCAGGACTCTTGCATAACCACCTCCCTAAGTTCCCTCTATCTCTTCACAGGTCTTTTCCCTCCCTTTCCCCAGTCCCAGCTGCCTAATTGTCCCTTCTTCTTCCCTTAACTTTCCTGGACCTCTGTCAGATCTTCCAACAAACACAGTTGCCTCTGGTATTTCTCCCACCCCCGGGGGTCCTCTGTGACATTTCTCCCATCTCTAGGGGTCCCCTGGAACCCTCCCATCTCCGGTGACCCTCAGTGGAAGATACTTTCCACATTCCCTTGGTTCCCATGGTGTCTTTTGTCCCCATGACATCTTAATCACCCATGTGATGAATCATCCCTTAGTCACCCTTGCCCTCTGAGTCAACCTAAGTCTGCATCTCAATACTACTATAGGGGGTGGGGGCCACTCTGAAACCACTCCCAGCTCACTGACCCTCCCCCACCCACCAGACTCCCCCTCCCGCTCCCCGTCCAAGGTGGAGGTGACTGAGAAGACAACAACTGTGTTGAGTGACAGCAGCGGCCCCAGCAGTACCTCCCACAGCAGCAGCCGTGAGTGGGGAATTGGGAAGTGTGTGTATTGGTTGGCACCAGGGCTCCAGGGTCAAAGACCACTTTGGGTGGGGCCCAGGAGTTCAAGTCTAAGAGTTTAAGTTCAAGTCCAAGGAGGAGTCAGGTTATCCATCCTTTACCCCCAGCAGGTGAGAGCCACCTTTCCAACGGCTTGGACCCTGTAGCAGAGACAGCAATTCGCCAGCTGACTGAGCCCAGCGGGCGGGCAGCCAAGAAGACACCCACCAAGCGTAGTACTCTCATCATCTCTGGTGTTTCCAAGGTAACAGGGCTCTGGGGAGAGGAGCCGGGATAGGTAGAAAACCCTAGTGGGTCTCTCTTGTCCATTAAAACTTGTCCCTTCCATCAGGTGCCCATTGCTCAGGACGAGTTGGCACTGTCCCTGGGTTATGCTGCATCAATGGAAGCCTCACTGCAGGATGATGCCGGAACCAGTGGTGGTCCCTCTTCACCTCCCTCAGACCCACCAGCCATGTCCCCAGGACCTCTAGATGCCCTCTCCAGTCCCACGAGTGTTCAGGAAGCAGATGAGACAACACGTTCAGACATTTCTGAGAGGCCATCTGTAGATGATGTTGAGTCAGAAACAGGTTCAACTGGCGCCCTGGAGACCCGCAGCCTCAAGGACCACAAAGGTGGGGAGGCATTAACTGAGTTCCCCCCCACCCTCCTACCCCATGCCCCACCTCCTATACCCAATAGCATGACTCAGGTCCTTCTGGATGCTTTGTGACAGGGGAGCCTCAAATCAATTTGTCTTCTTCTTCCTCAATGGCATCGTCTTACTTCTCAGCCTGTTTCAGCCAAGCCAGAGTAGAGAGGGGGCACTTGATGCCTTGGTCCTGGCCTGGATCCAACATGCTGGGGTGATAGGAAGGAATGCCAAAATATTTCCCTTTTCCTCCATTTTTCTTTATTCCTGTGTCTAAGCACATATCTTCTTCCCTCAACCTCCCCCCACCCCTTTAATTCTATAACTCTCTCTTATAAGAAATCCTACTGTTGCCAACTGGGAGGGTCCCTCTGGCAGTGACCCAGTCTGTGGATAGCTGTGGTACTTCTAACTTGTAAGGATCAGGGGCTGACCCCAAAACACCTTCATCCCTCTGCCACTGAGTCCATTAACCACAATGTTGTTAAGTCTGACTTAAGCTTGCATCACTTCTTGGAGTAATGAGAGTCTCAAGTCCAAAGCCTGCTGTGCAAGCACCTTCCTCCTCCTAATGGTCCCGAATTTATCTCTTTGAAGTTTTCTAGACTCACCGCTTCCTGCTCACATCCTGGAATTTTGTAAACAAGCCAGTATCCACCCACCTTGTCCCCTAGGGACTTTATAGGCATTTAGGAGCACCTTCTGCTTTGTCTTTCCACAATAAGGAGACTGAAGGTCATTCTATCCTCAGAGGCCCCATGGCATTCCTCCTCAGGGTAGTAGCCAGGAGTATACACAGAGTTCCATTTTTCCTTTGGGAGGGATAAAGGATGTGCTTTGTTTCTCCTTTATTTCCTGAGGAAACTGGCTTCTAGGCCTGGGGACAGGTCCTATTCTGCATGTTCTACCTTCCATTCTGGGTCCTTTCTCTGCTCCCTACCTCACCCCAACCCCTTGTGGCCCTTCTCTCTGCCTCAGCCTCTCCTCTGCCCCCACAGTGAGTTTCCTGCGCAGTGGCACCAAGCTCATCTTTCGCCGGAGGCCTCGTCAGAAGGAAGCTGGCCTGAGCCAATCACATGATGACCTCTCCAACACAACGGCCACACCCAGTGTCCGAAAGAAGGCTGGCAGCTTTTCTCGCCGCCTCATCAAGCGTTTTTCCTTCAAATCTAAACCCAAGGCCAATGGCAACCCCAGCCCCCAGCTCTGAGGGACTCTCCTAGCTAGGAGAGAGAAGGAGTCCTCTTAGCCTAGTCCCCAGCTCCACTTCCCCTTCCCTTCCTGGACTCCCTACAGCCTGGGCCAGGGAAGCCCTCTGGGTTCCAGGAAGCTGTGTCCACCCTGGGCTATGGGGCCAGTTGGAAGGGTCACAATGATGGGAAGCATGTGAGAGGCGGACATCCAATGCTGAAGACATGGAAGAGGAAGTGGGGGCTGGGGATAAGAGGAGAGCCTGGCCTGGCATGTGTGGGCATTCCTCAGAAACGTTTGCCTGTTGACACTGGCCCCTTGGAGAAGTCCCAGGATGCTCAGCTCCTCAGAGGGTCCTTCCTCCCCTATTTATTCTCTTTTCTATTTATGTGTGTTGCCCAGGACCCTCAGTGAACAGATGATAGAGGGCATCTCTCCCAGGTGACCCTTCTTTCCTGTCCCAGGAGGGTAGACAATTCCCTTTGGGATGGGGCTCCTATACCTCCCTCAGGTCCCCACTCCCACCAGCACCAATATCTGCCTCTGAGGACATTGGCAGCACATAGAAAGCCGGGCTGGTGCCCGGGATGGGGGGCAGGTACTCCCCACCTCCCTGCCTCCCCCTACTGCTCCTCATCCCTCCTTCTCTCTTTATTACTGTTTTTGTACTTGATGCCTTCTCTGTGAGCAGTGGCTCTGTTGGAAGGAGGGAGTCAGGAGCCTGGTGGGAAGCCTTTCCCAGAGAGTTGGCTTTAGGGGCTTTATTTAAAGAGTGTGTGAAGATGGAGCAAGAGCAGGACTGCACCTCTGTCTTTGGGAGATGATGTCCATTGCTGTGTGATGGCTTGGAAATTAATTTATTAAATTAAAGTCAAATTGGAATTTATAAACTGGACAACTCGTTATCTTTTGAAAAGTGAATGGGCAGAGACAGGTGCCCAGATAATGAGCTGTAGTAGACAACACAGATATTGGGTCTGCTATGAAGTTCCTGTAGGGAGGAGGGAACGTGTAGAGAGAGGAGAGGAGAGCAGAGTCCTAAAAGGGTGAAGTTGCAGCAAAAAAAGTCAATCAGGAAAAAAAGGTCAATCCACTGGTGGAGGACTCTTCATTCCCCTTTCTCAAATAGGCTACTCCTTCAGAACATGAACTTTGGATTTAGACTGCCTAGATTTGAGGCCCAGTTCTACTATCGACCTGTGTGACCATGAGCCAGTTATATAACCTCAGAGTGCCTCAGTTTTCCCGTCAGTATAATGGGAAATGTAATAATAATAGCTATTATAAGTCAGGCTGAAGAAGTGCTAACTCTTGCCTCAGATTGGGGAAGGGGGAAGTCTTTTACAAGGGTTTCAACAGAAGTAGAAGTTTCAGGAAGTTATAGATAAAGCCAACCCTATGTCCCTGGTTCCTGTTCTCTGGGACCTTCTACAGGACTTGATCTGGGTAAGCTGTTGCAGAATATCAGAGCACTGAAGCAGGGACAGACAACCTGAGGGTACCACAAATACACCACGTGACCTTGAGCAGAAGACTTCTTTACAGACCTCAACTTCCTGATCTCTAAAGCAAAGTGTGGTCACTTCCAGCCTTGCCATTCTGATTTACCTACATCACAGGGGGGTCAAGGCAGCATGGTCCATGCTCCTGTGTACAGTAGTCACAGAATGTGGGATATCTGGAAAAAGGAGCTGAGTGGCTATTTGGATGATTTTTATATCATGATATGATCAACAGCCTAGGTCATAAAAACTCAGATTTACCAAGATATTTCCTCTGATCTAAGAAATGCAAATCTTATTAGTTCACAGAGGAGCAGTTTGTTTACCAGTATGATAAGACTGTAGAACACAGGGAACTCGAGAAATTTTACAAGAAACTTTTGTTGACAGGAGAGCAGGTATTCAAAATCCCGTTGGAACTGTGGAGTGAGTGGGTAGTAACTGAAAGTCTTCTACGCTTCCCAGATTGCAAAGGGAATCTCATATTTTACAGAGAAGAGCTTAATCACATTTCAAAAATAGGGACTTTTAAAATGAATGCAAAAGAAAGACAAGATATAATTTCATCAACTTGATCCATTTTACACTTTCAGAAGACATCTATATGCTTTTTATAAGTGTGAATTATGCTTTAGGTTTTTTGTGGCGGCTTTTAAATAACAAATCTAAGGATGTGTCTGAGTTATGCAGCCAAAATTGGGGCTTGTTTTCAAGAGAAACAGATTGAGATGGAAGTAAACTATTCTAGACACCGCCTCAAATTTGGGAAACATGTATGGCTCCTAGAACTAGCCTGAGATTTTTTGCTGTGTAAAAATTGAGTCTACACAGCTCTTTGAACTTTTTATGAAATTGCTAAATGAAAGCCAAGAGTCATTTTAAGTGGTGTAATCTGGATTAAAATTAGGTTGGCATTTTCATAAAGTATTACTATAACCATGCGTTTTTGAGTGAATAAAGTTGATAAAATATATTTTGGGATGCTTTTAAGTTATATTTTAAGACGCTTATTTTAGATGGTCTCACTCATAGCAGGAATCTAGAAAACTTAAATAAGGGACCAGGAAAATGAATATAAGAAAGTGAAAATCAAAATCAACAAAAAACTATGAACCAGAGACACTTGTTGGGGGGTGGGGGGCGGGAGGGGAAGGATTGGGGTCAGAATGGGGCGTTTGCAATTGTATGGGGGAATATAAAAATAAAATTTAATATTAAAAAAAAAATAAATAAATGCTTATTAAGTAATAATAAAAATGTCAAAAAAAAAAAAGACGCTTATTTTAAAACGGTGACAAAGTTATAATTCACTGTTTACAACAAACCATACACATATTTCTGATTTCACTATGACTTTGCTGTTTTTAATGGCATTTTTAAAGCTCACTTTATATTGACCATTTAATGTGCTTCGATTATATAAATTATATAGGCTTATTTTTAGTTTAAAAAATACAGAAAAATACAATAAAGGGGGATAGGTATCAGTTTTAATGAACTTTACCAAGGTACAAAATTTATTTTATAAATATGACTTGAACACTTCTTGAGTTCCTGGACTAAAGTGACAGGTTTATAAAGGTGAAGATCACAGACATTGCCTTCCCTGACTAAACTGAGTCAGATACAGACAAAACAGGCAAATACAATAGAAGGAGATCCAGCTGTAAAGGGGAAACACAGGAAAAGGTCACCAAAAAAAGACTTCTTGGAAAAAGAAGCATCTTCACCGAGAATAGAAGAACAAGTAGGGATCAGGCAAAATATGTGGAGGAGCGAGACGATTGTTCTGGGCAAAGAAAGTGCAAGGTCTGAGAGGTAAAAGCAACTCCGTGTGGTGGAGAAAATAAGGAAACTTGTGTTTTGAGGACCTGAGGTGGAAGACTCAAGATACATAGAAGAATGCCTGGCCCAGATGCTGAAGGGTCTAGAAAGCCTCAGTAAGGTTTTGGGGCCTTTCCCGGACAAGATGTCCATGAGTGTTTAAAGCAAGGTAGTGGTTTGTAAAGATCACTTTGAGGGCCTCCCCGGTGGCGCAGCGGTTGAGCGCTGGGTTGCGAACCTGCCCACGGCCTCTGCGGCGACGGTTCGATCCCCGGCTGCTCCCCGGCCACCGGAGGAGGGTCCCACATGGCGCGCAGACCTCTCCTGCCGCCCGCTGCTCCCCTCAGCAGTGTACTTCGGTCCTTCTGCCTGCTCTGCTCCCCGCTCTGGCTCTGGTGAATTCTCTCACCCTCCCGTGCTTCTGGCTGTACCCAGTGCATGTGTAAACAAAACAAACAAACAAATAAACAAATAAATAAACATGCCTCTATAAAATAAAAAAAAAAAAAAAAAAGATCACTTTGAGTGCTCCGTGGAGAAGGTTTGGAGGGAGGCAAGAGTGCCCGCAGTGGAACTGTTATAGGACAGGGGGAGGGGCAGCCCAAGCCCCGCAAACCTGCCTATTCTAAATGGGTTTTGTCATCCGCCACATCAACACAAATCATATGAGACTTTAATGGGAAGGAACTTTAATAAAACTAGGAAACAATACAGGTAAGGCAAAGAGTCTAGTTTCTAAATGAAGCACCCAAAGTTACCCATCCCCTCGTGGGTAAAAGTCCATCCATATGGGAATGGCCCAGAGCAAGGCCCCAAAGCCTGCCACAAGTCTAAAGCATCTTCCAGTGAGGACCCACAGAAAAGGGTCAGAAACAACCAGATAAGCCCGGAAGGAAAAGAGCAAAATCAACATCAAGATAAAAGCTGCCATTGTCACCGCCCCATGGGTCTCACCCACATCTGTGTCACCCAGTCCACCACCAAAAGACAAGCGGTTTCTTCACGTGTCTCTAGGCTCCACGCGCCTCCTCCAGGTCTCCTGGCTCCATCCTGCTTTCCTTCCTCAGTCTCTTCTGCTGCTTCTTTTTTTTCTGCTCAACTCCACCCTCCCTTGGGGCAGGGAACCTCCCCCTTTCCTGGGGACCACCCTGTTACAGAACCAGTTTGGTTAGTGTAAAAATCGGATTTAGAGTTAATGAACTGCAGAGGGGGCTGAGAAGATTAAGAAGGGGGATAAACTTGAGAAATCCCTTGCTTAAGGATGAAGAATCAGAGGAATTGGCCATGAATTGGAAGTGAGGTGTGAGAGAAGAATCCGGAATAATGGCCGAGTTCTGACTTGAAGGAGTGAATGAATGATGTGGTTGTTCACTGAGCCTGGGAACAAGGAAGACAGAGATCTGGGGAAAGAGATGGTGAATACAGATGTTTAAAAGATAATAAGATAAAGAGGGCGAAGATAGAGGCAAACCCCCCAGTTTCGGCTTAGCAGGGCTCAGGCACCTCCTCCCGCCCGCTGCCCACGAGCCCAGCTAAAGCAGAGAGAGCCGCGTGGGCCGGGAGACCCCCTCGGCGCCCAGGCCGAGCGCTGCGCATGCCCAGTGGGCGCCGCGTGCCGAGCCTGCGCGGTCGGTGCCATCCGTCGCCTCGAGGGATTCCTGCCTGCGCCGCGCTCCGCGCCCCGCCGCCCCGCCTGCGTTACCTTTCCCCGCAGCCCGCCGCCCCTCACTCCCGCCCCTTCCGTGTTTTGGTCGCGCACGGGTTTCGTCAGTGTCGGCGGCCATTGGCTGGCGGCGGGATCTGAAGGCGGTGATTGGCTGGCGCTCGCCGTCGCTCAAGCGCTTCCCGGAGGTGCCTCGAGGTGGGAGGAGAGCAGAAGAGACTCTGGAGCCGAGGGAAGGTAGGCTGGGGCTCTGCGCTGGGCTCGGCAGCGTTGGGGTGCGCTCTGGGTGGGGTGCCGGGGTCAGGCGCTTCCCCAGTCGCCTCGGAGGGGCGTCCTCGAGCAGCTCTGATGCGCCGGCGGCCCTTGGCCGCTCACCCCTGCCCGAGCCTTCGCTGCTGCTGAGACCTGATCATCACCACACCTTAGGGGAAGGATTCTGGGAAGCCGGCGGGGTTTTGAGGGCGAGGTTTTTACCCCCTCTGGGCGGGGGGTGGTCTCCGAATTCTACACGTCCGGCCTGGGCCTGGGCCTGACCCCGCTTAGGACAAGCCTTCCCTGCCTCGCCTCCCGCTGCAGTTTCTCACTGTGCTGATCTTTCTCCTCGGACGCTTTGTCTTGGTCCTTCGCTTCACTCGTCAGCCTTAGCTCTTCGATCAAATTGTGGGTCCTCAGGGGGTTCAGAACCTGGGTCCTTCCTTTGCCAGGATACCATTCGGGGTCCTTTCGATGTCTTGCATTACAATACACTTACGTATTTGCTGATAACTTCTTACCTGGCGGAAAGAAGTGTTAGGAATCTTTTGTTGGCTGCATCTGTAGAATTCATGCTTAGACGTTCTAATCCTGTGGAGCAAGGAAAGGAATTGCTATCACATGCTGCATTCTAGCGATGTGTTATGCCCAATTTTTACACACCCATCATCTAGTTTAGTCCGTAAATCAATTCGTTGAGCTCGTTGTAAGTATCCTACAAGGGAAACTGAAGCTTCAGTAACTTGCCTAAGGTTACCTAGCTATATAGTAAACTTTGGAGCTTTTTAACCGGAACTCTTGACTCCATCACAGGTTACTGTGATACTAATACCCCATTTTATCTCTCACTCTCCCGCACTTCTGACTGTACCCAGTGCTTGTATAAATAAATAAATCTTTTTAAAAAAATGCCCCATTTGATATTTAAGGAAACAGTTTCACATAAGCTAGTGATTTACACAAAAATAAGTGGTACAGATTTATTTCAACATTAAAAGCCCCTAGTAGGTGTGGGCTGACTCTGCAGGTAGAACTGAATAGGGCACAGGCTGAGCTTTTTAAGAGCTCACATCTTAATAAAAGCTGACAAAATAATTACTAAAACCTGTTTTGGGTATTTTGAATACTGTAAAAGTATGATATCTGGGGAGTGAATTAGATAAAGAGAGGTAAAGCAGGCAGATGTAGGAGGAAGATGGAGCCAAACTCCCTGCTTTGAATTCTCTCTCCATCACTTTCTAGCTTTGTGATCTTTGGCAAATTACTTAACTGATTTGTGCCCATTTCATCTGTCAAATTGAGATAGTAGTAGTACCTACCTCAATAGAGTTGTTACATTTTGTACATTTACATGCATAACATTTCTTGTCTCTTATGACCCTTAGAATAATGTGTAGCTATAGTAGATATTTAAGTATTGTGATATTATTCTAGGCAGAGCAAAATCACCGAGACAGGAACTTGAACCCAGCCAGCCTTAAAACCAAGAGGCAGGAGCAGTCTGAGGGGCGGGATCGTTTAGGAAGACTTCCTGGAATGTGATCATATCCTGGCATTTATGGAGTGACTGGAGAGTACAAAGCCCTGTGCTAATGCTGGGAATGAGAGGTGAAGCCATGATGGTCCCTGCCCCAGAAGCTTCTAGTCTAGGGAAGACATACATTTCCTTCCATAGTAACAAGTGCTGTAGTGAAAGTGTAAGAGTGCTGTAGGCACTGGAAGGGACATGTTCTAGATGTAATTGGATGAATAGGTAAGGGCTTGCCATGGAAAGGACATTTGGTCTTGAAGGGTGAGTGGAATGCAGATAAAACCAGGGAAGCAGCCTAATATGGAAGAGGATATCTTTGGATTGGAATCAGGGTGCTCTTAGGCCAAATGAAATGAAGTTTGGAGAGGGCTCACCACAGGTCTGACACACAGTGGGTCCTCAGTGTGTGCTATTTTCCTTACCTAGCCCGTGGAGGAATGAGCTGAGGCCAGTTGGAAAAAAGCCTTGCACAGGATAGTGGATTTTGTAGAGAGGTAGAGAGTCAGAAGAGGTTTGGGCTGATATGTCTGATTTAGGAAGGCTTTCCCTGCTTCAAAAGTTTAATAGTATTTAACACTTCCTACTAATAGGGCTTTGCTGTTAGTCTGTGAGCAGCCCAGCAATCCAAGTGCTCCCCAGAGTACCCTAGGTGACTGGGTTAAAAAGGGGTTTCTTTGGTAATCACTTAAGTTTAGTGGGCTCTTTACTTGTAGGCGTGAAGGGATTTTATGCATTTTGTGTTTTTTTCCTTGATATTTAGCAGAGGTCTTTTTCAGAGCTCTCGCCTATGTCAGGTAGGACAAAGAGAGTAATGCTCCACTCCCTTGCAGAGTCCACCCTGGTGAGAGCAGCAGGAATCAGTGAGAATCCTCCAGGAGGTGACACTTAAAGGCAGAGTTGAGGCCTCTTCATGTCCTCTTTCCCCTCTGCTTTTACTAGTTGTATCATCTGAAATTCTGTGTTTTAAGAGTGTAACTGTTATTCTTCCTCAAACTCACACCTGGACCTGCTCACACTGGGGGGCTAGGGTAAAAGACAGATTTTTAAGCTTAACCCCAGTCTTCCCAAATCTAATCCTGGAGGGAAGGGGCTGGAGAACTCAGCATTTGCATCCATATTAAAGATAGAAAATCTTCAGTTTTATTCAGCTTTCTGTAGCAAGTATTTATTGCTTGCCTAAGCATGCCTAGGGCTATGTACACGCGGGGTGCAATGTTCGTGGACAGATTGGGCCTCATGTTCAAATTTTAGTTCAGAGGATGTTAAGGGAGTGGTGGAGTAGGTTAGGCAAAGGCAGATTATATGGCACTTTGAAAGTCAAGTGGGAGGGTTAATAACATGATGTAATAAGAAGCAAGGAGCTTCTCGGCTCATCTGCAGGTGGTTTAGAGAGTATACAGACTTTGGGCAGTGCCTTTCTAGATGCGATGTTGGCTGTTTCATGAATCATTTATTAAGGTCAATTTTAGTCTAAAAAAAGAAAAAAATACTAAAGAATATGGACTTTGGAGTTAGCCTGACCTGACCCCCACCACTGTTGTGTGGCCTTGGGCAATCCAGTTCACCTTTCCAAACCTCAAGTCCTTATCTATAAATGAGGTTACAGATAGTGCTTACCTCAGAGGGTGGTATCGGTAATTAAATGACAGTGTAAACGAAGTGCTTACTTTGGTGCTTGACCTATAGTGAGTATGAAGTTAAAATCAAAAGTTTGTGTTGCCCCCAATCTGAAGATGAGGACGTTCAGGAGAAGAAGGGTTAAGTTACTTGGCCAAGATCATATAGCCAATAAATGGTGGACAGAGGAGCCTGGATTAGAGCTCTGGTCCTTTGACTCTGAGCATTGCTCTGCCTCCCTTGGGTGTCATTGCTTCTTGGGGTGGGACTCTGGAGCTTTATGTGAAAATGTCTGTTAAAGTTCTTAGTTCAATGCCAGGTACATGTTCAATAATGATAGCTTTTGTTCTCCCTCTTGAGAACACCAGACAACTTTCATCCTTATTGAAAAAGCGCAGACGGGCCTCCTTGGTGGCGCAAGGGGTTAAGACGCAACCTATGATGCTATCCACAGCCACTGCAGCACGAGTTCGATCCCCCGCCAGGAAGCTACCCACCATGGCACAGTAGACCTCTCCTGACTCTCCTTCTGCTCCCCTCAGCAGTGTATTTCAGTCAATCTGCCTATTCTATTCCCCACTCTGTCTGGTGAATCTTCTCACCCCCCCACACCTCTGGCCTGTACCCCAGTTCTTGTGTGCATAAATAAATAAATCTTTTTTTTTTTTTTTTTTTTTTTTGGTGGGACCCTCGCCGGTGGCCGGGGAACGAACCGGCGCTGCAGAGGCTGCGGGCAGCCTCGCAGCCTAGCGCTCAACCACTGCGCCACCAGGGGAGGCCCAAATAAATAAATCTTTAAAAAAAGAAAAGAAAAAGCACAGACTTCCTCCCAGGTCACTGGAAAAATGCCTGCTGGTTTTAGGCAGGCTGCCTGCCCAGTATTCCCCTCCCCGCCAATACCTGACTGGCTGTACTTGGAGGAGTCTTTGCAGCTGTTGATTTCTTCCTCTTCTAAGGTGAAGGCTATGCCGCCTCCAGGGAAAGTTCCCCGAAAGGAGGATGGGAAAGTTCCCCGAAAGGAGGACCTGGAGCTCCAGTGTGAGTGGGGGTCCTGCTCCTATGTGTGCTGGGCCATGGAGGAGTTCTGCGAGCACGTCACTCAGCACCTGCAGCAGCACCTGCACAGCTCCTCCGGGGAGGAGGATGAGGAGGATGACCCTCTAGGTAAGGGGTAGGGTGGGAAGCAGAGCTCAAGGGGAGGCAGAAAATGTGACTTCCCTTTCCCTGGAGGGAGAAGGCAGTTTAGGAGAATGGTGATTTATTTTCCTAATTATGTTTGTTTGGTTTTTAAACCCATTGTGGAAAACACATTCAACAAGGAGGGAAAGGAGGACCTGTGGTTTCCTAGGAGGAGAAAGAGGGAGGCAGCGTCTACTTCACAGAAACTCGGAGCCAGAGTAGCGTGTCCCAGCCAGGCCTGCCCTCTCTGTTTCTGGCACTGGAATCCGCACACCATTCCCTCTGCCTGAACCATGCTTGTCCTCCATGTAGTTCACAAATACACTGCACATCTCAAAGCAAGGACATATCCAATATGTCCCTGCTGTGTTAATTACTCTGTTAATTCTTTTATATTACTAGCTCTCCAACTGTGGTACTTATGATTAGTTGCAGTTTTATATTTATACATGAGATTACTTGATTAATCATTTTTTCTTCCTGATTAAAAGTTGTTTCAGGGACATAGACTGGGACTCTTTTCACTTGTCCTGTCCCCATGACTGGTACACAATGGGTGGTCACTAAATCCTGGTATTTGCTTAATGAACTTCTGATAATTTGGTGTGAGCCCAGCCTCCTCATTGCTTGAAAGTACCACAGGTAGAAGGTGAACTAAGCTTGGAAAGTATCAGATTCTTTCTTCTAAACCCCTTTCTACAGAGGAAGAATTCTCCTGCTTGTGGCAAGAGTGTGGCTTTTGTTCTCTGGACAGTTCTGCTGACCTCGTCCGCCATGTCTACTTCCACTGCTACCACACAAAGCTGAAGCAATGGGGGCAGCAGGCCCTGCAGAGCCAGGCAGACCTCAGCCCCTGCATCTTGGACCTCCAGAGCCGTAACATCATCCCTGACATCCCCGACCACTTCCTATGTCTGTGGGAACATTGTGAGGTCAGCAGGCAGTGCTGGTAGTAGGGCTTGAAGCAAGTTGGGAATTTTAACTACAGGTGCCTTGACCCTTTCAGGGATGTCTTACATTCCTGAGGTTCCTGCTGGAATCTGTCTAAAAATTTCCCTTCCCCGCCAAGTAAATTTGAGAGAGCCAAAAAGCCCCTTTGGGACACATAAGGGTAAAAGTCCCTCATCACCCTCAGCCCTTACCCCAAGTTGCTCCTGGCACAGAGTTCCTTCGACAATCCTGAGTGGTTCTACCGGCACGTGGAAGCACACAGCCTGTGCTGTGAATACCAAGCAGTTGGCAAGGACAACCATGTGGTGCTGTGTGGCTGGAAAGGTAGGACCCCTCCTTAATTTCTGGTCTGTAAAGAACCCCTCGGGTTGATGAGGGGCCAGTGCAGCTAGGGATGGAACCAGTCCTGCAGGGTAAGGTTGGCTGCTGGCTGGAGAGATGTGGGGGTACTGTGCCTATCTGGGGATTGGCAGCTGGAGCCTGACCTAGCCTTCCATCGCAGGCTGTACCTGCACTTTTAAGGACCGCTGTAAGCTTCGAGAGCACCTCCGCAGCCACACCCAAGAGAAGGTGGTGGCCTGCCCCACCTGTGGGGGCATGTTTGCCAACAACACCAAGTTCTTTGATCATATCCGTCGCCAGACCTCATTGGATCGTAAGCAATTGAAGAAGGGCGCATGGGTGCAGATTGACCTTGGTGGGGGCAGGAAGGGTTGGGGGCATTTTTCCAGGGGATTGGGCCACTGAGGTATCCATACCTTGGCTATGTCTACTTTTTGACTCAGTCACCTGCTACAGTTTCTGCTGATTTAGATTCATTAGGCATTATTATTCAGTGCTTACTGTGTACCCCATCAGTTATCTCAGTGATTCCTCACAGCAGCCCTATGAGGTAGGCATCTTATCCCCCTTTTTGCAGATGAGGAATCTGAGGCTCAGAGAGGTTAAATCACTTACCTGAGATCACACAGCTAGTAAGTGGTGAAACTGGGATTCTAACTCAGGTTCTTGACTCCAAGTCCCATGCTCTTTCCACAAAACTTTGTTCACCCATAGCTCCCTAAGCTCCCCTTTTCTCATTGGGTGGTTCCCTTCTGCCTGGGATGGTCCCCCTCTCCTGGGCTTGCTCTTTTCTCTGCCTCTCTGCCATCTCCCACAGCCCATCTTTTTCTTCTGCCTGGCCTGCTCCAGAGCAACGCTTCCAGTGCTCTCACTGTTCCAAGAGGTTTGCTACGGAGCGGCTGTTGCGGGACCATATGCGTAACCATGGTGAGTAGCCGACTGCCCCCCCCCCCCCCCCCGCGCCCTCCACGATTCCCTGATACTCAGATCACAGGCTCCTCTCTGCTCCTCTTAGTGAATCACTATAAGTGCCCTCTGTGTGACATGACCTGTCCACTGCCATCCTCCCTCCGCAACCACATGCGCTTTCGCCACAGCGAGGACCGGCCCTTTAAATGTGACTATTGTGACTACAGGTAAGGGTAACCCAGGGCCTGAAATCAGAGAACTCATAATCCAGGGTCCCCCCCATGCCCTCCGTACCCTCCTGACTTCTCCTGCAGCTGCAAGAATCTGATTGACCTCCGCAAGCACCTGGATACACATAGCAAAGAGCCAGCCTACAGGTGTGATTTTGAGAACTGTGACTTCAGTGCCCGATCCCTCTCATCTATCAAGTCCCACTACCGAAAAGTGCATGAAGTAAGTGGAGCAGGTCGTGGGACAGGGCTCACTGAAGTGTGGGGGAGCCCAGGGTGACGAGCTCACCCTGCTTCCCCTCCCCATTAGGGAGACTCAGAGCCAAGGTACAAATGTCATGTGTGTGACAAATGCTTCACAAGGGGCAACAACCTCACTGTGCATCTTCGCAAGAAACACCAGTTCAAGTGGCCCTCGGGGCACCCCCGCTTTCGGTATGTCTCTTTTCTCCCTGCTAGATTCACACACACTATTTTCCCATTACGTGTTCAGCAAGTTAGAAACCCTGAATTTGATGACACTTTGATGTCCACCATTTCCCTTTAGGCTCAAAGAACCCTGAGAATAATGGTGGGGCAGAGGTGATTTTTCTGGTGTTTGAATCCAGAGCTGGGTGATACACTCAATAAATGCCAGAACTAGAACTGCAGCTCCATGGCCTTCTCATAACCTTTGACTCCTACCCTCTCCAGTGCAGTTGTCTGTCTGTCTCTCTGGCTTGGGTTTCTACACATAATTTTCCATTTTTAGTAATGATCCTGTTCTTGTCTTTTCTTCTACACATTCCATTAGAAACCTTTTTGTTTGAAACTCCCATCCTTTAGGATACTAGGGCTTTCTCATATTTGTTCCTTACCTTGCAAGTCTCCAGGCCACTTCTACATCTCCCTGCCCATGTATGCTGCCCTTTGTGCTCATTCACCAGGTACAAGGAGCATGAAGATGGCTACATGCGGCTACAGCTGGTTCGCTATGAGAGTGTAGAGCTGACACAGCAGCTGCTGCGGCAACCACAGGGGGAGTCGGGCCTGGGAGCTTCCCTGAATGAGAGCAGCCTGCAGGGCATCATTCTAGAAACAGTTCCAGGGGAACCAGGACCCCAGGAAGAGGCTGAAGAGGAAGAAGAGGGCGGGGGTAGTGAGGGGACAGCCCTCTCAGCCTCTCAGGACACCCCCAGCCCTGTGATCCACGTGGTGAATCAGACCAATGCCCAAGGAGAGAGAGAGATTATCTACTATGTGCTATCCGAAACTCCGGGAGAGCCCCCACCAGTCCCTGAGTGCCCCTCAGGGGGCATCATGGAAAAGCTTCAGGGAATACCTGAGGAGCCAGAAGTCCAGATGGCCTGAGGGTTGCAGAATCTGACCATTCCCACCCCAGACCTGGGTGTTTGAGCTCGGCTGGTGGCAGTGCCCCTAGTGGGCAACCCTTGCCAATGGATGCCTTTAGGAGTGGTGCCTAGAGCCTTGTGGTCTACTCTGGACCCAGCTTATATCATTTGGCAGACTCTAGGGACTTCTCTTTCTTGCCCGACAATGTAGGAATCGTGAGGCTTTTGGATTCTTTGAGGGGGACTTGTGAGTGTTTTTGTGGAGGGCACAAGTACCAGACTTAGCCTTGACCCCTTAAACATCTTGAAACTGATAAAAATGCTAAGTTCACGCACATCCATTCCTATCTTTAGGGGACCTTAGGCCCAGGGAGGACATGTCACTGGTCCTTAGAAGGGCCCTTCGTCACAGCCAGCCCAGGCATCAGGAACTAGGCAGCCATTTGCTTCCAAAGGGTTCCTCCTACAATCCCAAGGACTGTCATGGTTATCCTCAGGGATGGGATTGAGTGTGTATATAACAATGATTTTTGGTAATAAAAGAAATGCTTGGACTATTTCTTTCTTCTCACTTATGTTTGAAGACTGTTAACTAGGTATAATGAGGAGATATAGCCGCCCAGAAGAGGCTCGTTAGAATTAAGCTTATTCCCTTTTTAGTGACTGGAGTTTGCTTTTGTTTTTAACTGTTCTCTAGTTCCTCGTCTCATCCTCCTTTGGTGAAACTTCTTTCTTTATCAGAACATCTGCCACCTCCATGTAGGTCCCAGGTGTAGGCTGTGAATGAACAGTAGCAGCACTGTAGAGTGGACAGGAGTGGGGATCACCCAGAAGGTCGTACCTGACCATGGCCACACCCTCTGAGTTCTGATTGCAACTTGGTGCCTCTTGGGTGGGAGTTCTTTGCCTGTGGGGCTGTGGGACTGGAAGGGAAGATGGGGGTGGAGGGCAGATTTGGAAGCCTAGGGAAGGCAGGTACTTGGGCTCCAGGAACCAAGCTGGAAAATTGCATGTCTGGTTGTGCATTTTCTAGGGGAAGGTGTCTGGTTTTCATTAGACTCTCAAAGACATTGAAGCCTCCCCAAATAAGAAATGTTTCTCTAGACCTGTATAGTACCCTCAATTTTATCTGTGCCTCATGTCACTTAATTTTGGATCTCTTTCCTGCCCCTATGTCGTCTGGATCTATGTCTTTGGTGGTTACTCTATGCTGTTCTTTATTGTGAAGCTACTACCTTCTAGAATCTCTAAGTCTTTTTACATTTTTGAAAAAAGATTTTGCCCAAGCCATGCTTCTTTGTTCTGGATGTATGCAGTTGCCATCTTGGACCTAACATCAGGTCCCCACATTTGTCCCTGTTCAATTTTGTTTTTTTTAGATTTGGTTCACAGTTGTCTTCAAGTGGTTAGTTTAAAAAAATGAGTAGAACAGGGCCAAAGACAGACCCCGATGACAAGTCACTAGAGACTTTCCTCCTAGTCAAGACCAGATAAAGACTTTTTTAAAAAGATTTTATTTATGCATATAAGAACTGGGGTGTGGGCCAGAGATTTGGGGGATGAGAGGATTCACCAGAGACAAGAGTGGGGAGCAGAACAGGTGGATCAACTGAAATACACTGCTGAGGGGAGCAGCATGCGAGATGGGAGTGGTCTGCTGCGCTATATGTGAGTTAGCTCCCTGGCTGGGGATCAAACTCAGGCCACAGTGGTGACTGTGTGATAGCGTGATAGTGCTGAGACTTAACCCCTCTGCCACCAGGGGGCACAAGACCAGATAAAGGCTTTAAAGATAATAAATTCTGCACTTGATCTTAGCCAAAAGGCTGAGAAGCGATTAAAGATAATAAATTCTGGAGAGACTGTGGTACCCATTCTCCATATATAATGCAAAATGAAATTACTGAACTATGAAGTATTTATAAGGTAGTCTAGTATGATTATACTTTCAAATATACATAAGCTGTTACATTCTGGTCTTAATGTTTTTGTCTTTTGGTACTCTTGTTTTGCTGCTTTTTTAGCTTTCACTTGGGCTGCCCCTTGAGAAATCCGGCATTATAGTAAACCATTATTCCTTGATGGGCCCTATGAAAAGGGCCTTCCCTACCAGTCTTATGCCTATACCAAGTCCCATCACTCTGAATCATGGGAACAGCAGAAAAGGTTCTCGCCTGCTTCCCCCGATTCCAGTTCTCCAACAGGAAAGGATCCTGGGCTCAGCAGTGTGGATTAGATAACTCTGGACTGGGAGTGAGGAATTACTGACTCCAAGTAACCAGCGGTCTGTGGAACGATATTTAAGCCTGGAGGGTGGGTAAGAGCAGATTCCTGGAGGCAGGAAGGTAACAATACTAATTTGATTGCTTCATCTAGAGTCAGCCTGGGAGTTGGTCTTCATGGTGTCTGAAGATTAAAGGGACACACCAGGAGTGTGGAAACTGATGTTTCTTTTTTCTTACTTAGGCCCAGCCCATAGAGAAGAGCTGAGTGGGAATAAAAGAAATGATTCTCTAAAGATGGAAGAGGGAGGAATAGTCATGGGGCATAAAATCCTTTCTGTAAGATTACAAACTTGTGAATTAGGTGCTCAGTGACTGTTAAATGGATGGATGGATTTTTTTTTTAAGATTTATTTATGCATACAACAGCTGGGGTATAGGCCAGAGGTGCGGGGGGGTGAGAGGATTCACCAGAGTGGGGAACAGAACAGGTGGATCCACTGAAATATACTGCTGAGGGGAGCAATGGGCAAGTCAGGAGAGGTCTACTTCTCCATGTGGATCACCTCCCTGGCCGGTGATTGAATTCATGCTGCAGTGGCTGCGATTAGCGTCATAGTGCTGTGCCTTAACCCTTTGCACCACCAGGGAGGCCCCGGATGGGTGGATTTTGCTCAAAATTAGGAATCTCATGGTGAATTTTGGAAAAAGCACACCCAATTCATGAACAATAGCAGAGGGAGTTGAAACTGAGAGGAAAGGTAGGGGGAGAGTGTGAATTTTTTTTTTTTTTTTGCATAAAAGAACTGGGACATATACCAGAGATGCGGGGAGTGAAAGGATTCACTGGAGACAGAGTGAGGAGCAGAACAGGCAGATCTACTGAAATACACTGTTGAGGGGAGCAGCAAGTGAGACAGGAGAGGTCTGCTGCGCCATATGTGGGTTAACTCCTTGGCCGGGGAGATGAAACTCAGGCCATAGCAGTGATAGCACTGAGACTTAACCCTAGGCCACCAGGGAGGCCCAAAATAATTTTTTTTTAAACAACTTCCCCCCCCCCTTTGGAAAAATAATTGTTCAGTTCCTTTTCCCATTTAAAATTTTATTTTTCGAAGCACCATTGGTTTACATCTTTATTAGTGTTTTGGAAGTACAGGTTCTTCACCTTTTGGTATAGTCACCATAGCACACCTACCACCAAAGCATTCATAATCCACCATAGTCCATTGTGCTCTGCCCATTTTTTTTTAAAGATTTATTTACTTATGCATGCAAAAGCTGGGGTACAGGCCAGAGATGTGGGGGGTCACCAGAGACAGAGTAGGGAACAGAACAGGCAGACTGACTGAAATACACTGCCAAGGGGAGCAGCGGAATGAGACAGGAGAGGTCTGCCTCGCCATGTGGGTTGCTCCCTGGCTGGCTGGGGATTGAATTTGCGATCGAATTCGTGCTGCAGAGGCTGCAGATTGCTTCGTAGTGTGGTGCTTAGCCCCTTGCGCCACCAGGGAGGCCTTCTGCCCATTTTTTAATTGGAATATTTATTTGCTATTGAGTCAAGCCTCCTTTGTTCACCCTTCCTTCCCAGATCTAGGTTGCATTCCCCCAAGTGGCCAGCAGAGGGTCCTTTTATTGACAACACTAAAATCCTATTTTTTTTTTAATTTATTTTTATACAAGAGCTGGGGTACAGGCCAGAGGTGCAGGAGGGTAAGAGGATTCACTAGAGACAGCAGGGAGCAGAACAGGCAGACGACCGAAATACATTGCTGAGGGGAGCAGACGGCAAGCCAGGAGATGTCTGCTGCGCCATGTGGGTAGCTCCCTGCTGATAGCTTCATAGGTTGCGTCTTAACCCCCTGTGCCACCAGGGAGGCCCACTGCTACCCTTCTTAACCTGTAGGTCCCTAAAGCTCCTTACCAACTGCTTCTACAAATCCCTGCTTAAAGCAACAGATGTCTTAGATTAGTTCTTGGCACTAGGCTGAGATGGGAATCTAATGCTTCTGCCTTGCTCCTCTTAGGCCAATTATCATCAACCTTACCTGTCTGGGTTGGGGAACCTGCCCCAGATGGAGGCTCTGCTGTGGTGGTGATAGTGGTGAGATCTGGGGCATGGATTAAGAAGGTTCTTAGAGAAGAGAGGATCAATCTCAGGGAATGGAGCAGGTTTACTTTGGTAAAGGGAATAGGGTTCCTCTGGGAAGAAAGTCCATGGTAGAAAATAGGGGGGTGATTTGGAGATAATGAGGTCTAGACAGAGAAATGAAGGTTCTCTTGAGCAATGGTTCTCAACATGGTCCAAAATGTGTGATCATAGTGATCCAGATTAACAGGATCAGCATCACTGGAGACTTATTAGAGATGCAAAGCCTCTGGCCCCACCCTAGACACTGAATTAGAAATTCTAGGAGAAGAGCGCAGCAATTTGTGTTTTAACAAACCCTGCAGATAATTCTGATGTGTGCTAATGTTTGAGAAACATTGATTTTGAGTAACAAAGTCTGTTCCAGGAGCTAGAGTTAAGGGAATCATGGGAATGGGTATCTTCTAGGATGGGGACAGTGCTAGTGAACCTCTGGAAGATTGGAAAGTTTTACATCGTAGAACAAGACAAAAGTCTGTTCAGGGGAGTAGAAATGAATCTGCTAAAGTAGGAAGGCTACCCAATCAGGGAATGAAGAAGTTTGACATAGTAGATAAAGTCATGGCCTAGAATCCCTACAACCTTGATCCATCATACTTACTCTGTAATCTTATACTTGTACTTAACATTTCCATGTCTGAAATATGGGAGGTTAATAGTGACCTCATCAAGTGGTTGTGGGAACTGGTTAGGCTGTTCAGTAATAGATAATTACTAGTGTATGTTTTCTGTGTGTATGTTCTGGGACTGTAGGACAAAATGAGAGAGATCTGGTTCTTTCCTCAAAGATCACATCTATTTGCTGGCTTCTAAGCACATAGTAGGCATTCAATAGATGTAATGTCCCCTCCTTTGCCAAAAAAGGGAATGGGAAATACTGGGGGAAAGTTCCCTGAATCATGGTAACACTGACCTGGAGAATAAGATGTATCACTTGAGAATAAAAAAAAAAATATTGTTAAGCACTGAATTCAAAACCTGATAGTAACCTTCTGAAGCAGATATGCAAGATTTTTATCAATCCTATTACCTGAATGGGGTTCAGAAAGGTAAAGAAATTTACTTAAGAGTACAGAACTACTAAGAGATAATGACAAGATTAGAATGCCAATATTCTGATACAGGTTAGGACATGGAATTTTTTTTATTTAAAAATTTATTTTTATTTATTTATACAAGCACTGGGTA